AAAGTAAAAAGAAAAATATCGATAGTTTCACTTATAGCAGGAATATAGGGGAACCAAGTAAGACAGCAGTGTAAGAAAATAATAACAGTACAAAACACAACAAAGTAAAAACAGACAGTTATAAATCAGAGACATCCTGCAGGGGAGGAGGCGGGAGAGGGATCAGAGGGAGGGAGGAGCACAGGGGACTGAGGTGATGGTGCCCGGGTGCATTGGGAAAGGAAACTCTGTGGGGACTACACCTGAGGGGGTGGGGGGAAGCAAGTAATGTTTAAAATTGAACAATGATGTAAAAAAATTTTTTTAAAAAGGAAAAAAGGTTGGGGCCTCCCCGGTGGCGTAGCGGTTGAGCGCTGGGTTGCGAAGCTGCCCGTGGCCTCTGCGGCGCCGGCTCGATCCCCGGCTGCTCCCCGGCCACCGGAGGAGGGTCCCACATGGCACGCAGACCTCTCCTGCCACCCGCTGCTCCCCTCAGCAGTGTACTTCGGTCCTTCTGCCTGCTCTGCTCCCCGCTCTGGCTCTGGTGAGTTCTCTCACCCTCCTGCGCTTCTGACTGTACCCAGTGCATGTATAAACAAAACAAACAAACAAATAAATAATTAAATAAACATGCCTCTATTTAAAAAAAAAAAAAGGAAAAAAGGTTAATTTTATGGCATGTGAATTACACCTCAATTGAAAAATAATTTTTAAAATGTACATTAATTTTTGTCATCTGCCACCCCATCGCTCCTCTCCCCACATTTGATTTACTGATCTCTTTCATGCCCCTCCCCCCACCAGACTCCCAACCGTCCCTTAAACCCTCCCCCTCCCCCAGTTTATCCAGCTGCCTCCGGAGGACCTTCCAAGGAGGAAGGAGGGTCTCTCAACTGCCGCAGGAGGAGCGCCCGGTGCGCATGCTCTGCCTGCGCCCCCCACCCCGCCCCCCCAAGGACAACTTGAGCGGACTTTTCTCCTGCGCAGCAGTTAATGGCGACTTTTGGAGCAGGTGGCACGCGCCTGCGTCTATGGAAGGGGCCCTGGAGCGCCCCTTAAGTTAATATAGGCTCCTGCAGAGGTTTGATCTTCACCAGTAAACTCCGGATGCAGTGCTCTGAAAGCAAGGTTGGCCGCTTATGAGAACTTGCAAATTCTGAGGATTTTGGAGGCACATGGGCCTCCTCACATTGAGGCTTCGCCCCTGCCAAAGCAGTGTGACGACAGCCCACTGCTGAAGCTTACTAGTAAAGTGGTATCTTGACCCTAACCTTGTGTGTTAAGTTTCATTAAGTAGCATGCCTCGCGGGCCTGGTGTATAGATACTGAATAAATGGGGACTTATAACCCAGGCCAGGCCCGGCCGGACATCATGCTGCAGCAAGCAGTCCATTTGGCTAGGCCCTGGTTAAATGTTGCCCCTGCATAACTCTGAGCCCTCACCAGCATCTGGTAGATGCTGTGGTCTCTATTCACCTTCCCCAGCTATGATCCTTCATGGTAGGGCAAGCCAAACCTTTGGGAGATGTGTTTTGTATCTCTTGTTTTTAAAACTACCTATCAGATAGTCTTGAGACTTAAGACCAACCTCCATGAAAGGTTTTTTACATTTCTCTTGTAAAACCTAGCTTCATCTGCCTTCTAAGACCCTAAATTTTATTCTTTTGACCCTTATCTCAGACCCTATTTCCCCCACTTCATTCTTATTCTCTGATCCTATAAAACCTCTCCTTTGGGCCTCCCAGCCTTGGACCAAGTTCTTTCCCCTTTCCTCAGTTCTCACCACCTTTCCCTCTTTCTCCCATGTCACTTTCAGGTTTTTTCTTTCACATGCAGCCTTTGGTTCCCATACCCACTAAAGAAAAACCACCGTTAACAGCATCTCAAAACTCAAAAGATCACTTTATTATTAATTCTATTGCATATATTTATTCAATTTTGCTAAGTTTTAAAAAAATACCCAAATAAATAAAGAAATGTATATCTACTTATATATGGAAAACCAAGCTGGTACCCTAAGTTGCACCAGCAATCCTAGAAACTCTTATATTGCATAGCCATAGTATCGAGCAATTTCCATATCTTTTTCCCTCTGAATGAAAAACTGCAATTTCCCCAAAGAGGTGTATTTGGCAGCATTCTCACGTTCCTGCTGAGCCTGCCTCTTCATGGCCTCCCGCTCTGGTCTCTGCTCTTTCGTGATAGGCTTTGACATTACTGGCTCAGGAACATTGGGTTTTCTCCATGGAATTGGTTGGAAGCAGAAGTCTTGGAGTAGATACTGAGTTTGAGACTTAGGTGGAGACTGGTGCTTGGTGATAGCAGGGGGAACAGGCTCCTGCTGGAGAGAAGTGCAAGATGATGTTTTGTAGGGTGCAGGCCTAGAAGCAGCAGACTGAGGGACACTTGGCCGGGTAGGGTTGGTCAAACCCGGTCGGATCGGGTTGACCGAAATTGGCTGAGGTGGTCTGGCAGGACCTGTCATAGCTGCAGGCGTTGGCCGGGATGCATTGACTGCAGTAGATTGAACTGAATTAGCAGAACCAGGTCGTGCAGGCCGATGTGAGGCCAGAGACTGTGGCCTCCGAGATACAGGTCGAGCTGGAGGCTTGTCCAAGGTTGGAAAAGGCAAAGGTACCAACTTGACTTTGCCAGGAGGTGGTAGCTCATACTGGGATGGAGAGGGACACTCTCTTTCAGCACTGCTGTCTGGTTTTTGGGCTTTGACATGAGTTTTCTCAGGACCTTTTCCTTCTCGTGGGGTATCTAGCCATGGTTTGATCACTGGGGATGGCTCGGGGTCTTTGGGGTTTCTTGAGTTTCCCAGGGCCCGAGAGGAAGAGAATCCAGTTTTCTTATCACTCTTCTTCCCTAGTGCATGAAAGACCTGTACAGACTCCAGCATGTGCATGCCTAAGCAGCTTCGAGGCTTTTTAAAGGCCTCTTGGCTAAGGTCAGGTTGATTTTTCTTACGCTTCATCTTGGGAATGGTTGGCTTTTCTTCTGCCTTGACTTTGTTCCCTGCCTGCTTATTTTCTTCAGCTTTCTTGGAGTTGTTTTCTCTGGTCCTTTTGGTCTTTTCCTGCCCATGGCTCTTAGCTTTGCTGATCCTGCTGGATGCAGCTTTCTGAGGTTTGCTATTAGAATGTTTAGCTGTGTTTACGGGAGCCCTGTTACTGACTGCAGCACTGCAAATAACAACTTCTTCCCCTAACAGGCACTCTGGGTTCTTTGCGTGGATTTTGGCCTTGGGAGCACCACTGATAGGCTCTGAGGCCTTGTGTTTGTTCTTCTTGGCATTATCAGAGGGACCTTTTATGACACTTGACTTTTCTTGCTGCTGATTCAAATTGATGACTCCATTATCTTTGACTTGGATCACACTGGAATCTTTGGGTTGATCAAGATCTTTCAAGCAAGTGAACAGCTGGGGAAGGTGAATATCTTCCACCAGTGTAGCAATGTCTGCAAAACTATTGTTAGATTCCATCTCACTGTCAAGTATCTCTTGGTCCTCAAGACTCAGGCTATTGTTTCCCAGATCAGTGTTTTTAGAGGTAGTCTCTTTCTCGGGGCCGAGGGGATCAATGCAGGCCAAGAGTTGTTGAATATCAGGGATTTCTAATGGTAGTAGTGGAGGATCTTGGTTTTCTATTGTGATCTGATAGGCATCCAGAGGTTTTGAAAGCTTGGTTTCAATCTCATCCAAATTCTCACTCTCTGTTTGTTCTTGGTCTGGAGCTGGAGGCAGAGCCAAGAGATTACTAGAACTCTGAACTGGAGTGATCACTGAAATGTCCCCCAAATTAAATGGTGGGTCATTTTCAAGGATCTGGATCCTGCTACCACTGGACTTGGGGACTTCTGGAGTTTGTGACAGAAAAAATGTCTGATTTGAAGGTTGCAATCCCAGTGAAGTCTCCATCACTACAAAGGAGTCAAAGAAGAAGTCAGTCTCTGGTAAGTGAGATGCTCTCCCAGACACCAGTGCAACAAGTATATACCTTCCAGCAATGGGTAAGGTATTTCCACCAGCTTTTCTAAAGGATCATGGACAAGGCTCTGTGCTAGGAGCAAGAAGGGGACTATTCTATTTCTTTCTTACTGGTGATCTTGGTATTTTTTCTGCTTTTTTTTTTTTTTGTATTTTATAGTTGTTATAAGTCAAATAAAAAGGAAAATTATTTTCAAAATGTGAATTGTTTTCTAAAGCATAGTATTCTCATAAAGTGTCCTCTCAATTCTCTCTACTTTCTTTTTTTTTTTAAGATTTATTTATTTATTTATACAAGCACTGGGTACAGTCAGAAGCGCGGGAGGGTGAGAGAATTCACCAGAGCCAGAGCGGGGAGCAGAGCAGGCAGAAGGACCGAAGCACACTGCTGAGGGGAGCAGCGGGCGGCAGGAGAGGTCTGCGCGCCATGTGGGACCCTCTGCCGGTGGCCAGGGAGCAGCCGGGGATTGAACCGGCGCTGCAGAGGCTGCGGGCAGCTTCACAACCCAGCGCTCAACCGCTGCGCCACCGGGGAGGCCCAATTCTCTCTACTTTCTTGAGAGAATAAGAACATATAAGAAAGGAAGTGGAGCTCTTCCTCATGAAATATGTAAGCAAGGACAGATTCTGAGCCTGACTGCTTTGAACAGAATCTATGAATGCAAGATCTTAAATTCTGGTGTAAATTTAAGGAAATGAGGGAAGGTTTAACGGGCACTATCACAATCAGAGTTCTGAAGCAATCGAGCAAGGAAGGAAGTTCATTTCAGGGAGGAGGTACAGGGGGACTGATCAACCAGTTGATGAAAAATGTGTTCTCCCTTGATATGTGTTTGCTGTTCTCAGATGCAGCCTAGATGGCCATCACAGTATCCCACCTTCCCACCTGTTTCTCCGTTTTTCAGTTGGAGAGCATGAGTGAGAGTGAGGTAGTGGTTATTAAAGTCTCAGGAATTAAATTCTACTTATTTGTGGACTCATCACTTCCCAGGTGCAGATTTGATCCTATTTTGCTATTTGTACTCACCTTGAAAACTCGTTTCTGTGGTGGGTTGAGCAGACACAGAGTAGTACATTCCAGAGGTAGAGGCTGATGGTAGAATATTTGTGGGCTGAACCTCCTTTAGGACCATCACCATCTCTGGTTGAGGTGCGGAACCTCTACTTCCTGTGTATGACACTGAGCCATAGGATTGTAGGCAAGGGCCAAGTTCTCCAGAGAGGAGAGGCCCCAGTGTGCCTTGATTATAGTAATATACCTGGCTTCCCTCCTGATAGGGGAGTGGCAGGCCATGTCCCTGATTTGGAATCTGAGATGGTGTTCCCTGAACAAGGCTGGCAGAAAATGATGGATACAGAGGGACTACATTACTGGCATCTGAAGTTTTATCATACTGGGCTGCCATTGACATGGAAGAAACAGAGGTGTCCTGGTCAATGACAGTCACGGTGAAGTCCCCAAGTGAAGATGAGCACTTTTCAGTGCTTCCTGTGATATCCCACTCAAAAACACTTGGATATGAAGCCGTTGAGGTGGAAATCTGGCTCTGACCAGAAACTCCAGACAACATACTTGTACTAGAATGTTGGTAAAGGTAGGCACTACCCATGAGTGGCTGAAAAGAGGCACATGAGGCTGATGGTAGAAGCCATGCCGAGCTGACGGCTGGAGTAGAGACTCTGGAGAAGTTGCAGGCACTTCCTGTTAGGGAAGCTGCATTGCTCACCACAGGAAGAGAGAGCTGCAGAGAATTTGTTGTTCCAAGTAAAGGTAGATTTTGGAAATTTTCTGTAGGGAACAAAAGAGTGATGAAAAATCAGTGAGACTGATAAATTCCCATTTTGTCTGAGGAACAGTATTAATTTAAGGTCATTGCCCTTAAAAAGCCTCTAAATACTAACACTCGCTGAGATGCCAAAAATCAGTTTACGGTGATGGTAAAGGCAGGAACAATTTGGTACTCCTCTGTACTAAGGGATTGTGCTCCCAACTTGGGCACAGACATGCAGAAGCCACAAGTGTTCTGGTTTATTCATTGTTCTCTAGATTAGAAGCAACCTTCTCCTGCCCTGTTATTCCCTAGAACCTGTACACTATGGGTGCATGTTATTTCCTAAAATCAAAGCATTTTAGAGCTGGGAAGTCCTTTAAACACTCTTGTTCTAATATTCAATTTTACAACTGAGGAAATGGTGGCTGAGAGAGGTCAGGTAAATGTGTTCAAGTTCTCCCATTATGTCACTCTCATTACTGGGTGACAGAACCTAGGTATCCCCACTTCCTTGCCAGGTCTCTGCTCTGAGCTTCACACTGCCAGAAACTGAGAGACATAGAGATTTTAATAAGGCATTTGGGGGTTAATTAGAAAGCAGTTCAGCTATTACCACTGTGATTTTACTTGTGGAGTTCATACGCATTAAACTCAATCCAGCCTGGTTTCTGATCCTATCTCAAAATGACTACCTGAGAGTCATTTTCTCAAGAAGTACTTTTTGGGGAAAAAAAAAAAAAGAGTACATTTTGAAAGAAAAAAGCTGAGCTTCAGGTTACTTATCTGTACAGTGAGTATAACAACAACAGTAATGATGCATATGTGAATAAAGTTAATGCATCACATATGATTTATATGGAGGAAAAAAATACATTTTGGAAATAGAGAAAAATCATGAAAAATGCATATGTTGCAAAACTGAAAAGAAATATGTAAAAATGAAAACCAGAGCATGTAACAAGCATCAAAACATAAATTTACTAACAAAGTTCTGTTGTCATATGTGCAATATTATGAAAGTGAATATTACCTATTCTATTTTAGTGACTATTGTTAACCAAAAAATTCACAATAAAAAGTAATTTTGGGGCCTCCCCGGTGGCACAGCGGTTGAGCGCTGGGTTGCAAAGCTGCCCGCAGCCTCTGCAGTGCCGGTTCGATCCCAGGCTGCTCCCCGGCCACCGGAGGAGGGTCCCACATGGCGTGCAGACCTCTCCTGCCTCCCGCTGTTTCCCTCAGCAGTGTGCTTCCGTCCTTCTGCCTGCTCTGCTCCCCGCTCTGGCTCTGTGAATTCTCTCACCCTCCCGCGCTTCTGACTGTACCCAGTGCTTGTATAAATAAATAAATAAATCTTTTAAAGAAAAGTAATTTTGAATGAATTTCTAGCCAGTACATATAGGCAGAAGAGATATGTCAGTAAAAACTGCATAATAAGCAGCAAACTGCAATAAATGTGAATTCAGGGCCTCCCTGGTGGCGCAAGGGTTTAAGCACAGCACTGTGAAGACATCTGCAGTCTCTGCAGCACGAGTTCGATCCCCGGCCAGCCAGGGAGCTACTCACATCGCACAGCAGACCTATCCTGACTCACCTACTCCTCCCCTCAGCAGTGTATTTCAGTCAGTCTGCCCGTTCCGTTCCCTACTCTGACTCTGCTGAATCCTCTCACCACCACGCCCCCCCCCAACCTCTGGCCTGTTCCCCAGTTCTTATATGCATAAATAAATAAATATCTTTAAAAAATGTGAATTTATAAGTAGCTAAAATATATGTAAATAAATACTTCAATAAAAACTGGCACAGAGAGCAGAGAGCAAAATAATAAGTATAAAGGAGTTCCATTAGTGTGCTCATTCATATTTTTTGGAATATTACTCAGAAAATAACAGATATTAAGCCTAGTAGAAAAATATATATCAATGAATATAACACATAGTAGGCAGAAAATAACACTTGGGTATCATGAAGGTTTTTATGTTTATCTTAAAATATAGATTAAAATCATCTTCAACATCCAGGAAAATGTCATCCCCAAAGCCTGAAGAAATCATTGCTAGAATCCAATTGGAGAAAGATTTTTTTTATGAGGAATACCCAATGGCTTCACAAAATTGTTTTACATACATGTGGAATTGAGAGATGTGGGTCTTGAGTTTTACTAAAACAGATCTAACTGTTTACTCAAAACAGATCTGACTGTTACCAATGTGCTCTTTGAATTAGGAAGAAAATAACTGTAAAGATGACATTTAACCTTGACTTGGAATCTACTTATCAGACAAAGGAATTAGCCCTTCAGATTCAGTTAGGAGATACCACTTTTTAAACTTAATTTTATTTTTAACAGGTAAGACATCTACATACTTTAAAAATCAGAATGAAATAAAACACTAAAAATTGTTTCATCCAGCCCCCCAGATGACCACTTTTACTAGCTTCTTATTTATAGTAAACACCATTTCTAAAACATGTTTCTAAAATGTCTATATTCAAAACTGTTAAGTGCCATCTATGCTCTGAGAGGTAACAGAAAAAAACAACCAACCAACCAAGGATGACTTTACTGGTTATGTGCTTTTCCTATTGATACCCTGTTCTGGTCTCAGTTTCCTTTCTATTAATTTAAACATTTGCAAAAATCAACTTTGCTCTGCCCCGCTCTGAGCGGATTTCACCCTGAGCTCTTCTGTTTTAATTTAAAATCCTTCTCTTCAACATTCTGTCCCACACCACCTATTTTTTTCTTGTTAAGTCCTCCATGTTCTTCCTCTTCATTCTTATGTTTTCTCCTCCCTCATTCTTATATGTTTTTCCTCCTTGGTTCTTGTGGGCCTGTGCTTAATGAAAAACAACCCTAAACTGCCTTACTTCTGAATACTTGCTTCCTCATGACCCAGCACTCTCCACCCTCTCCCCCTATGTCCTCTTACTTTTTAGATAGAAAACTCCAACACAGGCAAATGTTACTTCTTGGACAGCACATTAAATTGTAAAGAATGGAGTTGAAATATTGTTGGAGGGAGACCTTTACAGATGAAACATTTTCGTCTATTTGAAACATATTCGTCTAACCATTTGGTAGTTTTCTACATTACCTAGGTTTTCTCTGTGTTTCTGTTTAAACACTCTAAGTCTCCAGTTTCATCTTTATAGGTGCCATTAAGACTGACTATTAGAAAAGAAGGGAATCAGAATGATCAACCAATATCCTAATGTAACAGTAGAGGAAAATCAGATCTCGTGAGAGTTAATGACTTGTTCAAGATCACTCATCTCTGTCAAAGTCAAAGTCAAAACTGAAAGTAGGTCTCCAGATTTCCAATTCAATAGTTTCCCCCGGTATTCCATGCTATTTTGACTCTAATGCTAAAGTTAAGGACAAGAAATATATATGCAAAACATTTAACAGTTTCTTTCCTTACCTGACATTGTTAAAGAAGAGGAAACATCGACTGCAGATACAAGGGATGAGGAGGCGACACTGGAGGATGTCTGAGTGGCTGAAACCAAAGAGTGCATGTGTCCAGTATGAAAGTCACTGGTCACACTGGTCACTGGTCACTGGTCACTTGCGATGATCCAAATTTATTTACTGACAACTCCATGGAAACCCCAAGATTCTACCAGGTGGTGGTAGGTTTGGTGGGAGAATGATGTCACAATGCAGGCAGTTTAAAGGTACAAAACAGCCAATAAGGAGGTCAGATTCCCAGAAAGATGGATGGAGAGTGTAAGAGAGCTAAAATACCACCTCAGTGGCTGAGCGCTGGGGAGGTAAAATCCTCCAAGACAGATGGGATAGTCTTACTTTCCCCAGGCTCTTAGGGTAATGATCCCAGTTTCTTAGAGATGTTCATTAATTGATAGCAATTTATGTTTCCTATATAATATTTTGTGACATTATATACAAATACAGTTAATATCCTTAGAGAGGAAGGAAAGAGACATCTTGGTTAAACAATTACAGTTGTTCTGACTGGTTAAATTAAGGACCACAGGAAGGGATTAAGCAGCTCCTTTGGTAACTTGGTTAAAGAGTACGGTGAAGTTCTTGAGTGTACCTTGCAGGGAATGATGTGGTCCTCGGCTCTTGTGGTTTCTTCTCCTTGAATCCTATCTTCCTTGGGCTGAATTGGACTGAACCAGGTTGAATTTGTATCCTTCTTCTGCTCTCCATTTTTTCTTTTCAATACAGGCATTGTTTCTGGAACAATCCTTGATGTTACTTCCAGCCTCAGGGGTCTTCTTTTCAGAGCCTGCTGCTTCACAGAATGGACTCTGTCCATTGGAATTAAACACCAGAGAGCAAGAAGACACAAATAACTGCATACTTTTTCTCTTCTTGCCCTGGGTTGTAGTTCTTTTGTCCATAATCTGCTATCTCTGGCTCCTTGGGCCACACAAGCATCTGGCCACCCCACTCTGTTAGTTCTTTTATACATGAGAGGCATTGAGGATGCTCCCCCTTTTCCTTCTCGTATAAGTATATCCAGGATGGCAGTTGCTGTAGCCTCCTCCCCCCTTGCAAACAGCCACTGTAGAATTTTGGGCCTCTAGGATTCTCTGTCTGCCATTCTTGGGTGCAGGACCAGGCAAAAAGAAGAGGAGCATAGTCAGAGAAAGTAGAGGATATTGGTGACAAATAGGAATAAACAAGGTGAAGTGTACAGGAAAAAAAAGAGATTCAGGTGAATTTTTTGGTTTCTGTGAGAAAAATCTGATACATTTTAGCTTGTATTAACAGAATAAATATTCCAATATGTTGTGAACATAGCTAGGTAGTATAAAACTTGCCACCAATTTTGTATCTAAAGAAAATAATATTACATATGTTTTTCTCATTTTTAAAAAAGATTTATTTATTTATACAAGCACTGGGTACATCAGAAGCATGGGAGGGTGAGAGAATTCACCAGAGCCAGAGCAGGGAGCAGAACAGGCAGAAGGACCGAAGTACACTGCTGAGGGGAGCAGCGGGCGGCAGGAGAGGTCTGCGTGCCATGTGGGACTCTCGCTGGCGGCTGGGGATCGAACCAGTGCTGCAGAGGCTACAGGCAGCTTCGAAAACCAGTGCTGCAGAGGCTACAGGCAGCTTCGAAACCCAGCGCTCAACCGCTGCGCCACCAGGGAGGCCCTCTCATTTTGTTTTTATGTCATGTTAACTCATTTATATCACATATTGCCACATTTATAGAATATAGATCACTTTGAAATGCTCTGGGTTATCTACATGCTTTTTCCCTGTTGTATTTTTATTATTTTTTAAAGATTTATTTATGCATACTAGAGTTGGGGTGTAGACCAGAGGTGCATTGTGTGGGGGGAGCAGTGAGAGGATTCACCGGAAACAGAGTGGGGAGCAGAAGAGGCAGATCTACTGAAATATACTGCTGAGAGGAGCAGTGGGCAAGACAAAAGAGGTCTACTGCGCCATGTGTGTCACCTCCCTGGCCAACCAGGAAATTGAACTCATGCTACAGTGGCTGGTGACAGCTTGATAGCATTGTCTTTAACTTCTGCGCCACGTGGGAGGCTCCCCTGTTGTATTTTTAAAGAATCCAGCATTGTTGGGCCTTCCCTGGTGACTCAGCAGTTGAGTCCTGGGCTGCGAGGCTGCCCGCAGTCTCTGCAGCACCGGTTCATTCCCCGGCCGCCGGCGAGGGTCCCACAAAGAAAAAAGAAAAAGAAACCAGCATTGTTAGACATATTACAATTTTTTCTCTTCATGCTTGTTTTGAAGCATCAAGAACTAATTTGATGGATTTTGTGAAGAAACTTAAAAGAAGTCTGTGAAAAGGAGATCTGTGGTAAGTTACACTGTGCATCCAAGCATAAGGAAAAAATGTCTGCATTCAGCATGATCTGCCTGGATTGGCTCTGGTTTTGATCTCCTGAATTTGCTTTTCTTGCTCTTCTGTGATAATGTGAGTTAGGGCTGAGTTGCTAATGATTTATATGTGGAATAAGTTGGTTTGGGGGAGAAAATCTATGGATTTGGTTATTTAGTGTTAAGTTTTTTTTTTTTTTAAAGATTTATTTATTTTTATACAAGCACTGGGTACAGTCAGAAGCACGGGAGGGTGAGAAGATTCACCAGAGCCAGAGCAGGAAGCAGAACAGGCAGACTGACGAAGTATACTGCTGAGGGGAGCAGCGGGCGCAGCAGGAGAAGTCTGCGTGCCATGTGGGACCCTCGCTGGTGGCTGGGGATCGAACCGGTGCTGCAGAGGCTGCGGGCAGCTTCGCAGCCCAGCGCTCAACCACTGCACCACCAGGGGAGGCCCTTTTTTGTTAAGTTTTTAAAGGGTTGCCTGCATCAGTCCATCTGGACACTTTTCTAGCGCCAGTGAATAGGGGTGCCCAGAGCCCACAAGAAGACAGTTCATAGATGGCACCTCCAAAGATATCTTTTTCTTTTATAGAGCTATGTTTCCTATTTCTTCCAATAATGCTTTTAGTGCTTATTATGAGATTTTTAAGTGATGGGGGAGTGACATTTATCTGAGCATAAATTGTGAAGGGTGTTGTAGTATAGAGGTTTTTTTTACTTAAAGTTCATACCCCAGCTAGCTCCTGTATGTAATGTGAGTCTGATAACATATTCTAAATATCTGCAAGCCAGACCAAGTTCACTTTTCTCTGTGTTTCATGGAAATCTAAGGAATCCCTAATCACTGGAGGCTAGGCTGGGTGGTATGAAAGTGGGGGGTTGTGTTAAAACAAATTTTGGTAGCAGTAAAATGTTTATATATGTAAAATGTTTACATATTACATTTTGAATACTTCCAGCATTCAATTAGACTTTTCCTGGTTCCCAGCCTCTATAACTATTTTTCTTTCCATACATCCAGCTATTTAATTCTAGCTTGCTGGCTCAGCAACACCTTAACCTCTAAAAGAATCTTAAATGTAGGGAGAAGGACCTAAAGAAGTTTAATATTTTGGAACCTAGCATCAAGTCTTCCCCTGACCTGTATCTTTAGTTTTGCAGTAATTGTCTTATCCTGAAGACCCATTTCCTTTTTTTTTTTTTTTACTTTATTAAAATACTGAGTTTATTTCACATGTATATTCTTGTCTCCCCACCACTTCCATTTTTCTGGTCACCACCACTACGTTGTCCTATCATAACATTCCATACATACTTAAAACCAAATAAAAAGTGGTGTTCCATCTTTAAAAACTAAATACACATTTTGAAAAACCCATTTTTGGAACCTGGACGACATTTATCAGACATGGTAAGGAAGTTCTCACTGCCTTATGTAAAGGACAGCCAGATACAAACTGTTATAGAAACGAAATAAAATGGAAAATTTTAGCAAACTGTTCCACCTACTTTCCTAAAGGGACTTCCTCCACTGCCAGAGATCTTGAAATGACTCCTTATCAGTCATCTGGAAACATTTCCTTTTTTACCTAATTGATGTACTTGGCTTCCACTTTGGAAAGAGAACCACCTTTTCTATACTTGCAGCTTTGCTTTAATGTCTTCTACAGAACTAGGTTCTTTTGGTGTTTTAGAGTTTTTTCCTGTGTTTTTTTTTTTTTTTTTTTGAGGATTGTCGACCTTTTGTTCCAGGTGTTGATATTTTTGATTCTTTTCCATTCTGGTTTGACTTCTGTGCATTTTTGGCTGGAGTGTTGCATAGGTTTCGTTACTGGTGCTTTTTCTTCACCATCATCATCAAAATCGTCGTCATCATCTCCCTCAGCAAGTTTTACTTATTCCTGTGGAAACTAGCTACCACTTCCACAGGCAGAATGCTTCCAGATATACTTAGGAGTTTCACATCCACCTTATCATCTTCTGACTGCATCTTCCTCCACTTAGTGCAATCCACTGACATGCATGGGCCCCAAACCACACTTCAACTGTAAGACCATACATGGTGTAATTTCAAAGCCAAGAAGGGAAACTATTGGCTGTACACGTTACAAAGTTGAAAATGTTACTGTAATAGGATGCCTTCATAATTTTTTGCCCCTGCTCCAACAATGAGCAGTTCATCCTTTGCACCAGTCCCTAAACAGACTGTTCTTAAAAGTAACTGGTGCTCATTTTCATCATTAACCACCTTAAAGTCTCAATTTTTGTTGGCCTTCAGTTCACAACTGAAAGATAGTTTGGGGCCTCAGGGTGCTCGTGTCCATTCAACCTAAGTGACCACACTTAGATGGGAGAAAAGGCAGACAGAAATAAATGACTACTGTCCTGAAGAACAGTCCTGCTGAATGGAATCCACCAGGGATCATTTCCTTCATTTCGTACCCATGGGGATAGAATTTGTCTTGGCATCATGTGCCTACTCTATTTACTCCATGAGGCTGTTCCTTCGTAACTTTTTGATTTTGCTAAAGACTAGAAACCCTTAAACCCCCACATGGTACCTGGAGTCCTATGAAATCTGGTAGATTTTGTTAGTGTCAGCTACTTAGCTGTTTGGTGCTCCCTTGCTCCTGTACTTTCCATTCCAGGGCACTGCATACATATAAGGCATTCTTTTACCCAAGTTTGGAATGAAAGACCTATTCTTTGCTAGTTCACTCACTTTCTGGAAACCCTGTAATGCCTAGGTCTGGATTTTCTTGTGTCAACTACTTTGTTCTCCCCTGAAGCTTGTGTTCTATAGCAAATTGGATGTGCATGAACAACATATCCTTTCCATTATTTAATAGATTTATGGCACATTTTGTGTATTGTGTCTATAGATATTTGTAACATTTGCATTTTTTGGCCTATTGGCCTACACACCTATTGGAATTCCAATAGAATATTTTATGAGTAAGCCCCAAATATGAATGTACATAAGTTTACAAACTTTACTGTTCTTTCTTTTTTCCAAATAGCAATTCTCTAATATTGACCCATTTTTTTAATTAATGTGGACATTTTTAGTGTTCTAAATATTTATGTATTCAAACTTAGAATTTGACTGCCCCAGAAGTGTTAAAGCTAATGATCTTTTAACACATTCATTAATTAATTCATTCAATAACTCTGACTTTTCTGACTCTGTTTACCCCACTGTCAAATGGTTGTAAAGGTTACTAACAGTATATGTTAGATACTTTCAGAAATTAGAGGCTAAAAAATGAAAATAACAACGATCACTCACTATTATAATTATCTGTAGTTTAATCAGAATTTATTACTCTCTTCCACCTTCAGACCTATTGTTAGACAGTTGTCCTTTGCTGTTCCACTTGTAATAGAATTCAGTTTTTCCAGACTTTCAGTTTTCAGCAGGTATAGATCCTTATGCCTGATACTGTGTGGAAATCTCAGATGTGAGCTCTGTTCATCTCTGTTGTTTCTTGGTATTCTCTAACATGCAAATACATATGTAGACCTTTCGCATGATACTTGGCACATGATAGGAGCCTGATAAAAATTTCATTGTGAGTAGGATTATAGATCGATACAATTTTTTTGGAGGGTAATTAGATGATATCTTTCAAAATCTTGTTTTCATATTTTTCATTCCAGCAATTCTAGGAATTTAGATATAGTAGTATAAGTGTATAAGGATGTATAAATTGCAGTCTGTGACAGAGGACAAAAATAAGCAAAAAAACCAACAACCCTGAAAACAGCTGAACCCAGCAATATTGAACTTGTTATATAAATTACCATATTTATGCTCAGTGGAATACCATGCAGACATAAATAGAATGGAAGTCCCTATTAATTGACTGGAGAAATCAGTCTCCAGGATATATAATAGAATTGCATAGTATACTGTTTTCATGTTAAAAAAAAAAAGAGAGAGAGAGAAAAGAAGATATCCATACGTGTTCAAAGAAATATTTATATACAATGTACAATGTGTTACTGCAAGATCGCACAAGGAACAGAGGAAGAGGGATTTAACTTTACATTTCCTGTCCTATGCTGTTTGAATTCTGAAGGACACATTCATGAATTCATCAATATGTGCTACTGGTCTCGGGCTAAGGAAGAAGCAGAACTACCAAAACTCTGTTTACGTATCAAGCTTCTCAGGTGGACGGCTCCGCGACGTCATCACTACGGGCGGCGGGGCATGCGCAATAGCAAGGAGCCGGAGCTGCGTAGTCCTTCCGGGCCGGGATCTTGTTGTGGCCGCAGGGCTGGGGGCTTTGGTACTCTTGGCGTTGGGTGGGCGGCATTTGAGGACACACATGAGCCAGTGGCATTATGTCCGGGACGGCTGGGGTCAGGGACGCGTCTTTTCTGGACGTTCCTCAGCCAAGAAAAAGGGCGGAAACCGCATCCCCGAAAGGTAAATATGCCTTGGCCCTTGGCGTGGCCCTTCCTGCTCCTACCTAGGGGCCTGGGCTTCCACTGTGGTCTCAGCCTCTGTCGCTGTTGCCGCCGCCCGCTTGGCCGGTCTGCCTTTTGCTAGGAGGCTTTGAGCCTTCGGTGCTCCGCCCATGGAGCTGAAGGGAACAGTCGGAGTTCTGATTTCTCGTTTTAAAACTTAAGTGTTCCTCGGGTAAAACACAGGACTGCTTTTTATGTGGAACCGGACACCCCATAGTTACCAAAATGGAGTCCCTCTCCACTCAAGATGTGTTGATTTGGCACAGAATATGTCAGTTACAAGACCTAGGTTTGAGTGAAAAATCCAGTACCGCCGAACTTTTCACCGAGAGCGTTGTATTTTCAGGAATCGTACATACTGTTGCTTCCTAACCAGTCTTGTTTGAAAGAACTTCCTCTGTACGTTCAAATGATCAATTTTGAGACTTTGCTCATATGCAGGGAACCCCTTTTTTACTCCTTGAGGCTTTCCTTTCCTCTCTTACTTCATAAGTCCCCTTCATTTTATGTTCTGAATTTCTGTTGACTCTGTCGGCAGCTCTCCAGCTATATCCTAAAGAATTTGCCTGATCTTTGCAGTTGGGTCCTAACTAATGTGCATATATCTATTCTTGTTTCCTTCCAATACATTGTTCACACAAGAAATCTTTTAATAGGTGAGTTGGAACATTGCTCAAAAATATTGTTTTAAGAATAAAAACAAACTCTTTACCATGCCCTGTAAGATTCTGCATGGTTTGGATCCTCTCTGCTTCTCCAGCCCCACCACTTGTGCCACCTTTGCCCTCACTATCTGCATGTCAGATAAAATGAGTTAATTGTAATCAATTCTAACTCATCCTACAGAAGTCAGCTCAAACAGTACTTTTCACTGTAGCTCATCATTATTACGTGAAGTTCACTTCCTTTTCTATCAGACTCTCTTAAAATATGAACTTAAAGTTCCCTCGATTGAATTTGAAAGCATCTGTAGTAAACTGACACTACTAAAAATGTACTGTGAAGTGAAAGGATTTAATTTGAACTACTTCAGTAAACATCTATATACTGATGGAACTTTTGTGTTCAGAGCTAAGTTTTATCAACTACAGAAGTTCACGACATCTCTGGTTTTAATATGCCTAATTTGTTGAAACCTGTAAGTTAATTAGGTGGGGTTGAATACCTGAAGCAGTAAAATGCAAGGTGGACATGTTGTGTGGGCTGTACTTTGCATTTTAAAGGGCCTTCATTCCATGCTATATTTTATTCTAATGTGAAATATGAATAACAAAAATATGTTAATAGGTGGAAAGACTATCTCCCAATTGGTCAGCGGATGTCTGGGACTCGTTTCATTGCTTTCAAAGTTCCTTTGAAAAAGGTAAGGAAAATTCTGAATTCATCATGTAGAACACCTCAATCTTGTCACATTCCATTTTCCCTTTTTATACCAAATACTTTTAACATTCCCTTTATTATTTTAAAATGAAATTTTTAGTCAATACTTCCATACTCAATCTTAAAGGAAAAAAATATGTAATACTCTGTTATATAAAGAATAAATAATTCTAATAAAGTAAAATATATTTCAATATGAAATATATGCTATACTAGAAATAGTTATGTAGAACATGAATGCAAGAACTGCAAAAGCAGACTGATCTAGTTGGGTTATATTCACTTAGAGGCAGAAATTTCCATAATAGTAAACAATTTTTACTAGATTTCCAAATAAAGTACAGTTTTCTCTTGATTGATAAAATGATTACTATCCTGGAAAATTCAGTGTATATTAAAACTGTGTCAAAAAACCCTTTGCGTTTATTTGTGAAATGGAGTTAGGTTCTAAGGCTTTAATAATCATGATTTTTTTTTTCTCCACTTATGTGAATGTTGACTAGGACATTCAAAAGTCATTCAAGTTGTAAGCTATGTGTAGGACGATTCTGGGTTTGGCAACAGGCCTAGAATCTCTGACCTCCACCCCCTGAATGCCAGCAAGACCCGTTCACTCCCATCCTCATAACCAAAAAAATACCCTGGATCAGTAAAGTGAGGATTTCCACACAGAAACTCTGAATATTGTGTGTTTGTTTGAACTATGAAAGAAACAGGTGGGGGACTCATATGACAGATATAAAAATGGTGATAAGAGAGCCCATGACTCATTAAACTGCCCAGCATAGCATGAATTAGTACCCACTTTGAATGTATTTAAAATTCATTTAATTTGTGACTCATAGATGTCAGAGTTCTCTTTTTAACTGCTATGTCTTCTGCATCTCTGGACTTAAACACTGCTCATGTCGTAAGATAAACATGTGGTTCTTATTCACATCTACCAGTGCCAAGCATTGTGTTTGACATATAATAAACACTTAACAAAATTTTGCTGAATGAATGGACTGTCCGCTCACATTTATAGTTACTGTTAGTTTTCTCCTAAATTCCTTTCCTTTTCTGCCATTGTCCTAACTCAGGGCTCTACTTTGTGACACTGAAGTGGTTTCAGGAGGTTCTACAGGGTTCCTGCACAGCCTCTTGCCAGAAAGTACATCAGCAAGAGAGAAAACAGGAAGACTTTGGTTTCCTTTCCTCCGTATAACCACATCATTCCTGTATGATGTCATTTTGAAAAGGCCTCTTATGATATTATATACTCAAGTTATTAAGTTTTGGGATTGTTTAAGGCACCATAAAGGGGATTACAAAGCTGTGTCATTGTTACCACTGCAGTCCATGTTCATGCATTAAAGTTAGGGAAATGAATTACCTTGGTGTGACAGTGAAATGTGGCATTGGTTTCCTTTGTGTTTCATGGAAGTCACCCAAGAAAAAAAATGCCTCAATATTTGACAGTCGGGCCTCCCTGGTGGCGCAAGGGATTAAGACACAACCTGTGAAGCTGTCCGCAGCCACTGTAGCACGAGTTCAATCCCTGGCCTGGGAGCTACCCACATGGTGCAGCAGACCTCTCCTGACTCACCCGTGGCTCCCCTCAGCAGTGTATTTCAGTAGATCTGCCTGTTCTGTTCCCCACTCTGTCTCTGGTGAATCCTCTCACCCCCACACCTCTGGCCTGTCCCCCAGTTCTTGTATACATACATAAATCTTTTTAAAAAAACAATTGACAGTCACTTCTCAAGCACACACTGGAATATAAAATAGAGAAAAGCTGAGTGTCAAATAAATGCCATGGCAAGAAATACCTAGGAATTCAAAAGAAGGGGAAATGATGATAGTTACTTCCTACAGGGAAGTAGACTTCCTACAGGGCTTGTGACTTAGTTATTTAAGGTTAGTTATAGTTCAAATGGCTGGCCTTGATAATTGATCCATCAGGTACACGTCTGCAAGAAACTGGAGAGATTTTGTGCCTTGTTGAATTAATGTACTTTTCAAAACTTCTACAGTAGTACTTGTAATGCACAACATATATCTCTCAAAATTCCTAAGTTAATTTATAAATTCAACATCTCCAATGGGAATTTTCCAAGTTAGGCTCATTCTAAAACCCATATAGAAAAATAAACTTAAGGAGCTAGGAAAATTCGGAAAATTTAAACTTAAATATCTAGCCCTACAGATATTAACCCATATTAAAAGAGTTGCTGCGTAGAACAGAGCAAATAAAGAAGCCAAATATAGAAATGAGTATTTAGGAATAAAAGCCATACTTAATATATATACATACTTGAATATTATTTGTAAGTTCCTATTTGTAGGGCCTCCACTTGGAGCTGGAGATCAAGGATGGACAAAATTGATGTGGCCTCTGCCTTCTGTGCCATTAAGTCTGGTTAGGAAACCAGCATGAAACAAACAGATAAATACATGAAATATATTCTGCATTGGAGCTTTTAATGGGAATGGTGTTTACAATCTAAGAGGTAGAGGTGTTATTTAGGCTGCTATATGGAGCTTATTTTTTCTTCTCCAATCTCTCTGGAGGAAAGGATTGTAATATAGCTTGTAAATTCCACAAGAGTGGAAAACTTTCCTTTGAATCTCGTTGTAAACATCACAGGGCTTGCATAATATAAACGTGTATGCTCTTACCTCATTTTCTGTGACAGAGTTTTGAAGAGAAGCTTGCCCCAGAAGAACGTTTTTCCCCCTTGGATCTTTTTAACAAAATCCAAGAACAGAATGAAGAACTTGGACTGATTATTGATTTAACATATACGCATCGCTATTATGAACCAGAGGTAAATAGAACTCTTAGTTGAAAAGTCTTCTTTTTTTCTGATATTGTTATAAATCACAGTAATTCAGTAGTTATCTTCTGCTAGATTGAAGCTTGGCTTCTTACGGGTTATTTTTCAAAAACGGAACCAAATGGTTTCCTTAATTATATTTAATTTTTAATTGTTGTTTCAACATCACATTAAAGATATGAATTAAGCTATAATGTTTGATAATAGTCCTTTGACAAGACCCTAATAATATCTGACACTTTTTTTTGTTGTTGTCATTTGTCTGAGGAAAAAATATTTCACACTCATCTTGTACATTTCCTGTCCCAGAACTGGGAATCAGCCATTTCCTCAAAGAGCTTTTAACGGGAATGATATTTACAATCAGTGCTAGAGGCATTCACTCCTACCATGCTGACATTGTTACTAAGCTTAGAAACTAAGAGCTAGGTACTTATTTTAATATAAAATATGTTATATGTTCATACTGATTCTTTAAATTCGCAACCATAGGATTTTCACTTAATCTCTTCTTTTACTATTATCTAATTTTTCCCACCCACACAGTGCCTGAAATTTGCTATATCTCACAATTTAAATACAAGTTTTTCTGACTATTCACAGTTGCCTTATGGCCTTTGAATTATAGAATACTAATAGAACTATATAATTTTTAGTTATATATGCATTCATTCATCACATGAACTTTGCTTTGATTTTTATGTGTCTGTTGACAATCTGAAGTTTTAATGAAAATCAAGTGATACTTCCTACTTGAAGCAAATAATTCATCTGAATTGCACACCTACTAAGTATTATGATCTCTTGGTTTATATTCTGGCTCCTTTAATGGATTTTTAATTATTTTCCTACAAATGAAATAATATATATTTTCATGATTTTGTTTTATAGGACTTACCAGAAACTATTACTTATTTAAAAATTTTTACAGTTGGACATCAGGTGCCTGATGATGACACTATTTTAAAATTCAAAAATGCCGTTAATAGGTTTTTGAAAGAAAATAAAGATAACGGTGAGGTGTTTTTTTTTTTCCTTATCTGAACTTTGGTATACATTTTGAATGGAGTTAGCAATTTTTAATATTTTAAATATTTTTTAATATTTAATATTTTAATATTTTTAATCTGACATTAGGTCTATGGTATTTGAAAATGTTAATGTATGTATGTCAGATGATCCTAATAGGGTTAGGCATTGTTCCTTTATATGTTTGTAAATAATTTAGTTTGGAAAGTGATTTTAGTGAAAATGCCAATTGAACTAGCTCAGATTTTTTTTTTTTTGAAACTTGAATGAGAAATAAATAATAAAAAAGTTACTTTGTCCTATTATTATTAGTTACTACGAGGCAAGAGATGGAAGATTAAAAATCTCAGGGTCTTAGAGTATATAAAAGAGAGAACAAAAGGCAAAGGTTAAGAGTGAGACAAGTTCCTAGAAACAAAACAAAATAGAGTGGACCGGTGGAGTTGCATCCTCAAAATATATATTTAAGGTATTTCTGCTGCTTTTCCACTTTGGGTATAAATAAGGAAGGATGCTACCAGCTCTTACTCTTCAGATAGGAAAAAATTCAAAAGGCTGGTGTTTTCTTATTCCTGCTTTAAAATCTACTTTGGGCCTCCCTGGTGAACCAGCCTCTGCAGCACAGGTTCAATCCCAGCCGGCCGGCGAGAATCCCACCTGGCGCAGCAGAACTCCCCTATCTTGCCCGCTGCTCCCCTCAGCAGTGTATTTTGTCAGTCTGCCTATTCTGTTCCCCGCTCTGTCTCTGGTGACTCCTCTCACCCTCCCGTGCATCTGTTCTATACCCCGGTTCTTGTATAAAAATAAATTAATCTTTAAAAAAAAATAAAAATAAAAAATAAAATCTACCTTACTATGTTGAGAATAAATCTTAATAGCTTCTGAATTTTAAGGATCCAGTTAACCTTCTGGTATGCAGATATCAGAAAGAATATGGTATATGCCATATTTTAAGACTAAGGACTGTTTTGTCTTTAGACAGCCACTGACCCACAGGACAAAGGGCTCATTTTGCCTGCTTTCTAAATTTAGCTTGAGGAATGTGTTCTTTACTAAATCTGACAGGTAGCAGATAGTCCATGTATTATATGTGTACATCTATACACATATATAGTAATATGTCTGTTAATGTATATTTATATGCATACGTGTATATGTGTAATATATTTTACTACAAAAGGGTAGTGTGAAAAGATATAGAACTTACATGTTCATTTTAAACATTGAGCAATATGTTCATTTATATAACGTTAAGTTAAAGGTACTGTTCTAAGAAGTAGGAACAAAATGAAGTTCTTGCCCTTACATCTTTACATTTTAGTGGGAGAGGGGGAAAAATAAACAAGTATGTGGACTGTCTGGTAGTGATAATTGCTTCAGAGAATAACCAAACAGGATAAAGAAATGAGAGAATGTGGTAGGTCATCAGGGAAGTCCTCTCTATTGAGATGGACCTTATTTGAGCAGAACCTTAGAGGAAGTGAGAGACCAAGCCATTTGGATATGGTGCTATGGGAGAGTATTCTAGAGCAGCAGGAACAGCAGGTGCAAATTCCCTGAGGTACGACTATGCCCAGCATGTTTGAGGAATAGTAAGGAGGCCATTTTTTTTGGTCTGGGTGAGCAAATTCAGTCACAGTAAGGTAGAAAAAGGAATCAGAGAGGTTGGCAATAGGTCATATCATGGAGATCCTTGTAAATTATAGTTTATTTTATTTTTTTAAAGATTTGTTTATTTATTTATTATTTATACAAGCATTGGGTACAGTCAGAAGCGCGGGAGGTTGAGAAAATTCACCAGAGCCAGAGCGGGGAGCAGAGCAGGCAGAAGGACCGAAGTACACTGCTGAGGGGAGCAGCGGGCGGCAGGAGAGGTCTGCGCGCCATGTGGGACCCTCCTCCGGTGGCCGGGGAGCAGCCGGGGATTGAACCAGCGCTGCAGAGGCTGCGGGCAGCTTCGCAACCCAGCGCTCAACCGCTGTGTAGCTTGGGCTTACATCTCCAAATCTTGCTTTTTTATTGTAAGATACACTGTTATTTACCCAGGCACTTCACAGGACACATGAGAGACTGGAAGTACTCTGGGAACTTAGGAGTATTATAGAAATTAATTCTTTTTAATACTCAGTTTTAAAAGTGTAGGCTTTCCATTTGTTTCATTAGGAAACAAATTTCATAGTTTTTATAGCCAGTTTCCTTAACTCCCTTTTTCTATATTTAAATCTATTAAATGTATTAATGGGCATTCTATGTTAAGACAAGTCAGTTTCTCTCAATGCAATTTTAGCTGTTAGTACCTGGTCCAGCTTCTCTGCTTTACACTATTGGGTCTTATGGGGAGTTATACAAAATTTTCCAGAGATAATGAATTTTTATTATATTAAATAATTCTGTATATATGTTATTTTAAAAAACAGCTCTCTTAGAGTTATTTTCAGGGTAGTGGTAGTATAGTAACTAGTGTTACTCTTCAGAAAATTGTATAGCTTTTAGTGTTTCTACTTCACTTACTTAACTCTATGTTCCCTGTTTTATAGACAAACTTATTGGTGTCCATTGTACCCATGGTTTAAACAGGACTGGCTACCTCATCTGCAGGTGAGTTGCCAACCCTAAGCGACAGACCATATTGAAATTGTTTTGCCTTTTTACAATAGTAATGTAAATTAGTTGCAAAATGCAATCAATATAGAAAAGTATGAAGTAGAAAGCAAATCTCTTCATACTACCCACTCAAAGATTACCACCATTAATAATTTAGTGTCTACTTTTTCAGACTTTAAAAATGCAGACACAAGCATGATATATAGAGATATATATATATATATAATTTAATGGTAGACATTCTATTTTATAACTTAATATATAGTGGACTTCTTTCAATGAAAGTGTTTGGAGATCTCATTCTTTTTTAAAAGTTGCATTGTTCCTTTGCTTATTAATAAGTATAAAAGCTAGAAGGTTTGATCTTGAAAGACAGTGAAGTAATGAACTTTATTGTATGACCATGTTTGAATACATACTTGGCAGTCTCAGAGATAATTTCACTCAGAATGGAATTTCTGAATCAAAGGGTATATATTCTTACGATTTTTTTTTTTTTTAAATTTACTTATTTTTATACAGGAACTAGGGTACAGGCCAGAGGCACGGGAGGGTGAGAGGATTCACCAGAGACAGAGCAGGGAGCAGAACAGGCAGATTGACGAAATACACTGCTGGGGGGAGCACTGGGCGAGACAGGAGAGGTCTGCCACGCATGTGGGACCCTTGCTGGCCGGCTGGGATTGAACCCGTGCTGCAGAGGCTGCGGACAGCTTCACAGTACGGCGCTCAACCAACTGTGCCACCAGGGAGGCCCATATTTTTATGATTTTTATGGATTTTCTACACGGTACTGATTCATATTTGTTCATTCAGAAAATATTTATTGAGCATCTGTTATGTGTTAGCACTATATTGGGTGCTAGCAGACAGACTTGTGAATACTACCAGTCAAGAAAGGAAATAGAGTGCCTCCGTGGTGGCGCGAGGGGTTAAGATACAACCTAGGAAGCAGTCCGCAGCCTCTGCAGCACCAGTTCGATCCCTGGCCGGCCAGGGAGCAACCCACATGGCGCAGCAGACCTCTCCTGACTTGCTCCCTGCTCCCCTTAGCAGTATACTTCAGCCAATCTGCCTGTTCTGTCCCCACCCTGTCTCTGGCGAATCCTCTCACCTCCCACACTTCTGGCCTGTACCCCAGCTCTTGTATGCATAAATAAATAAATCTTTTTAAAAAAAAGAGAAAGAGAAATAGATAAAATTTAAGAATTACACAAATGCATTTAGAATCACAACTCTGAGAAATCCCAAGAAAGAAAGAGCCAGTAGTATGTGTGTAAATTAATAGACAGGCTTTGACCTCATTGTGGAAATTAGAGGTTTCTGTGGGGTTATTTGAGCTGATATTAACTAGTTATGTACATTGAGGGGCTGGGGGTGGGGGGGCTTGGAATTCTGGACATTAGGGAGAGCCAAGACCTTATAGTAGGAAAGCATATGTTATACTGGAGGACCTTGCCAGGGAGCCTGGACCATGGTGAGAATATGGCATTAAAATGGAGCTAGAGGGCCTCACCGGTGGCTCAGCCATTGAGCCCTGGGCTGCGAAGCTGCCCGCAGCCTCTGCAGCGCCAGTTCGATCCCCGGCTGCCGGGCGAGGGTCCCACACGGCACGCAGACCTCTCCTGCTGCCTGCTGCTTCCCTCAGCAGTGTACTTCATCACTCTGCCTGTTCTACTCTCCACTCTGGCTCTGGTGAATTCTCTCACCCTCCCACGCTTCTGACTGTACCCAGTGCTTGTATAAATAAATAAATAAATCTTTTAAAAAAATGGAGCTAGAAGTATGGGTAGGAGTAATATCATGCTGGCCTATGTTTAATGTCTTAGACTTTATCTTAATGGTGCAACAGAGCACCATTAAGCTTTTTTTGTTTAGTGTGAGTGTGTAGAAAATAATCAAATTTGCATTTTCAACCTATTGTTTTGGAGAGTACATTGTAGGGGGAAAGAGTAGAGAGGTAAGTTAAGAGACTTGTAAAAATTGAGGCATAATGGTGGCTTGGACCAGGCTGTGATGGTTATTTTGGTGGAATGATTGGAACATATTCTAGATTATTTAGGTAATATCATTGTTAGGATAATGGTGATGGGTTGAAGATGAGAGTAAGGAAGAAATGGCCAACAGTAGTAATATATTAGTATTTTTCCAATTTTCCTTTGCTATTTGTTGGTTCCTGATAAATATTCTGCTATATTAAATGTCCTGTTTTAGTGTACAAAGCACTTTGATCAAAAATGACTGTTGTATCTTATCTGATACATTTTTAACATCTATCAATTTGGTTCTGTATTTTCTTTTTCACATGTTAATTGAATTATATTAATATAAATAATTACATTGGGCCTCCCCGGTGGCGCAGTGGTTGAGAGCTGGGTTGCGAAGCTGCCCGCAGCCTCTGCAGCGCCAGTTGGATCCCTGGCTGCTCCCCGGCCACCAGAGGAGGGTCCCACATGGCAGACCTCTCCTGCCGCCCACTGCTCCCCTCAGCAGTGTACTTCGGTCCTTCTGCCTGCTCTGCTCCCCACTCTGGCTCTGGTGAATTCTCTCACCCTCCCGCGCTTCTGACTGTACCCAGTGATTGTATGTATAAACAAACAAACAAATCTTAAAAAAATAAATAAAAATAAATAATTACATTAATAGATTTTCTAAAATTGCATCATCCTTGTATCCTTGGAATAGAGGCTTTTTTGTGGTTGTGTAAAATCATTCTTTAAAAATTGTTGGATTAGGGCCTCCCCGGTGGCGCAGCAGTTGAGCGCTGGGTTGCGAAGCTGCCCGCAGCCTCTGCGGCGCCAGTTCGATCCCTGGCTGCTCCCCGGCCATCGGAGGAGGGTCCCACATGGCGCGCAGACCTCTCCTGCCGCCCGCTGCGCCCCTCAGCAGTGTACTTCAGTCCTTCTGCCTGCTCTGCTCCCCGCTCTGGCTCTGGTGGATTCTCTCACCCTCCCGCACTTCTGACTGTACCCAGTGCATGTATAAACAAAACAAACAAACAAATAAATTAAAAAAAAAAATTGTTGGGATTAGATGTTCTGATATTTTCTGAGGATTTTTAAATCTGTATTTGCAAGTAAGATTGGATCTTTTTGAAAAAACTTGATTTATTGGATATGTATAAATGACTCAAATTATGTTGTTTCATTAGATATTTGATTGATGTAGAAGGCATGAGGCCAGATGATGCAATTGAATGTAAGTATGAGAGTTTGTCACTATTTTTTCCTTTTATCAAAGTTGAAGGTGGAATTATAAATAAATTTCTCAAATTTTGAAAAAAAGCTTGGTTTTACTTTTTGAATATAAAATAATCTTTTGCCAGAAGTTTGTAAAAGTACATATATGAAAATAGTGAGCTATCACAGCCTGAATAATTAGTCCAATGGTTTTTAGCTTTGATCTGCTTTCTCTAGGAAAGGTTTGCTTTTTGCGCTATTTCTAATAGTTCATCCACTCCTCAGTATTCAATAGGTGCCGGGGACATTGCTTAGAAAGACAAAACTACATTGAAGACCTTCAAAATGGTCCTATCAGAAAGTAAGTTGCATTGTAGATGTGAGATTTGTGGTTAGGGGGAATCTTTTTTTATATATTTAAGTTGAATGTATCTATTCTTCTTGTAACTTGTTTAATTGCTGGGGATGCCTAAATGGAATATGGAGAGAATGAGATTGTTACTTTCATGGACTAAATGTAGTCACTAAATTGTTAAATTTGGAAACCAATAATATGTGGAAACATTCTCTTTGAGGAATCGCAATTCCAGAAGATCCAAATCAAGTGGCTTTGAAGACTCAACACATATGATAGAAACAGTCCACACCAGTCATAAGTCTGGTAAACGAGGATCTAGGAATCACCTGCATCGGAACCATGCTTACACAGTAACTCCTCAGCATTTCCACACCCATACCCAAAGTTTGCAGCAGTCAGTAAGGTATCTCTTCTTTTTTCTAGAATAGAAACAGAAATTAATACTATAAATTAATATTATAAAATAAATGTAACAAATTAATATACATATAATACACATAAATATAGCTTTATAAGTAAGTGCAAAATACATGATGATAATTATGAGGAGGTCACATTTTCTTGGTGATCAACATCAACTAAGAAGTATCATCTGCTCTGTATTTTGCATTTAGGGCTGAAAAATCAAATATAGGATGGGAAATATGTGACTTTTCAAAGGCAATTGGGAAGAGATTTAGAAAAATTTGATTCTAAACTCATTTTAAGCCAATAATTTGATATGACTACCAAAAAGCATTTTGCATTCTTAAGCTACAGTTTTCAGAATAAGAAAGGTTGCCATACTGAGCTACTTATTCAGCTATGTAGTAAAGGGTTTGAGAAATATGTCAAATGATTGAATGAATATAGTGCTTTCTATATTTTGAAGTATTTCCTTAGTCTTCACATGAAATTAATAAGTATGTGCATTTATATGGACAATTAAAGTTGTGTTCCAAAAGGTCTATACCAATTTTAAGTGCCACTGTCAACACAAGCAATTTCTTTGAAATATGTGCATTTTTGAAAAATGGCAGCATGTTTTTGAAAGTGTTTAAAATAATGCTAATGTATTTTAGTAACTCATGTAATGGTCATAAACAGTCCTCAGAAGTACTACCATTAACATTTCCATCTGACTGTTGAAAAACAGAAATTTAGAAAGCTGAGTATCTTACCCAAGAGCACACAGCAAAGAATGGCAGAGCCAGGCTGCAAATCTGGGTCCAGTCTGACAACCACTGTACTAGACTGCCTTATCAAAAACTAGTTGCTAAATAGGCAAAGAATTGTTATTTTTACTGTACTGAGGTTGTTCCCATTTCTAAATGAAAATATTTTGTGATACATCTCTTAAAATTTTGCGCAAATGTCTTTAATGGGATATACTGTTCCCTATAATTTGTATTTATTTCCACAACAACCCATGAAACTGGAAGGTATTATTAGCTCCATTTTTTTTAAAGATTTATTTATTTATACAAGAACTGGGGTACAGGTCAGAGGCACAGGAGGGTGACAGAATTCACCAAAGACAGAGCAGGGAACAGAACAGGCAGATGGTCTGAAAACACAGCTGAGGGGAGCAGTGGGCGAGTCAGGAGAGGTCTGCCATGCCATGTGGGCATCTCCCAGCTAGGAATCGAACCTGTGCTGCAGAGGCTGTGGACAGCTTCACAGTGCTGCGTTCAACCCACTGCACCACCGGGGAGGGCCCCTTTTAGCTCCATTTTTAGAAAGAACTAAGAAATCCAAAGATTAAGCAGTTTATCTGCTAAGGTCACATAGATAGAAAACAGTAGCATGAGAATATCTAATATTTTATGAAGCTTATATTATCTAGTTTCTTATGATTAATAATAGTTTATTTTTGTTTTGTTTAAGACAATTTCCATGGAATCAGAACGTTTACCAGAGTGGCTATGTTCCTCCTCCTCCTGGTCCCCCTGGAGAGGACTTCTCACATAACAGATACTCTTGGAATGTAAAGCCAAATACCAGTCAAGCAGTCCAGAATACAAGTTGCCCTTACAGTTACTATAGACTACCCTATCCAGCCTATTATGGATGGACTGAGTGACAGTCTTGGAAATCTGTCTGGAACTGAACAGGACTGAAGACAGTTGGAGTGACTTTTTGTAAGATCAGGTTTATAATCTGTAATTGTTCCCTTATGTGTTAAAGCTTAAATAAAAATTATATTGGTACTTCTTTGCTGACAAATTTACAGTAGTTGCAACAGTGAAGGAGATGTCTACTATTGTAGTCTTAAATTTTTTTTAAAGGAAGATGATATTTTAGAACTGATAGTTATAAAGAACTTCCCTTGTAAATTATTTTTCAGAGTTCTATCTTCCTTTTCTATATATCGCCTTCTGAATAGACTTGTGACATGAATGAGCGTATATATAGAAATTTGTATTGTTTTTGTCATATTTTGTTGTTTACCCAATCATTAACAGTATCTTTTTCCTCAACTATTTAAAATTTTTATTAAAATCTTCCTAGGAGACAATATCTTTAAAGCCTAATCGCTTTTTGTATTTTTGTGATATTTCTTTCCTTTATCAATCAGTCTGTTGTGGGATTTGACCAACTTCTTTTAACTGAATTGCCAGATAGGCAATTTAACACATGGATAATGAATAAACTTTTAAGACTTGATTGTCAACTGGACAAGAGAGACAGACTAATAAACCAGAACACTGGATGATAATTTACCTGAAAAGGTAATTAGCTGCTGGGTAGAATTATTTAGTAAACCTTGAAAACTTTTATATACAATAAAGGTTGCTTGTTAAACATCACATTTAAAGCCTGGGATATTTGGAAAGACTTCTGGGCTCCTATGTTACTGCTTCTCTGTTGAATGTAACCTGCTGAAATATTTCCCTTCTTGCATCTCATAGTAGAGTGGTGCCTTGATTTTGACTTTTTTCTCAATTTTCCCTTCTGCTGGTATACCTTGAACACGTATGTTTCAGTATGCTAGAACTTGGGAAATGCTTGTTGCATTTCATTGCAGAAGTCAGAAACCTTTGTTTGCTCAAAGAGGTATGCTACCATCTTGACACATTGATAGATATTTGTGGAATACTTGAGCAGCTTGGCTTCATTTTCTAAAGCCTGTAATTTTGAGGATTTCTATCTCAGAATGTCTGTTAATACATGTGATATTTATTTTCTCTTTTGTATATGAACAACATGTGGAATCTGACCCAAGGAAGTACTCTTAACTCAGTCACTCCCTGGTTTGTATCTAGCTCACTCGTGCTGCAACCCTTCATCCAAGTGATGGTTCATGATATCTTTCCCTGCCTGCTAAAGGCAGTCTTGTGAAATTGTTCCCTGGGATATATCACAGGTTCATTTGGAAAGAAATTGGGCAAGACAACTGATGCAGCAACAAAGAACAAGCAGAGGTAGGAAGGGGATCCTGCTGTCCAATGGTTTCTAAGGAATTCCTTGGCAAGCAGTTTCTAAGGAAGATACCGCCAGCAGAAGTGCCATCATAGAAGCACTGCCATCTTGAAAACGTCTTTTAAGCATTCTTTTCATTTATTGTTGAAATTCCTGATGTTTATGGAGACAAAATTTAGGTTTAGGTATCTTTTCATACCATTTTCCACATTATAGAACTTTTTCCAGGACTCACTGAGCTCATTTTAAATATAGGCTGAGCCTTCAGCTCAGAAAACTACTTATTTTATATGTCTGAATAATTCTAACTGTTGTAGTCTTTGGCTCAGAAACATCAAATATGCATATATTAAAACTCCAAATCTGTCCCATCTACTGCTTCCTGCTCATCAGTTTCATGTCTCTTCATTTTGTCATGTTTTGTTAGGCTCCTCAACTGTTTTCTGTCCACTCATTTAAAATTCTGCAATATCTGTTCCGTTCTTTTATGACTTCAAATGTAGCTTTAAATTCCACTATTACACTTTAATTTCCTTAAATTACTATACTTTATTTGGTTTTCTTTACTGCAATAAATCTTTTCAAAACCAGCTCTTTTCCTGGATATTGGATACTATGTCCCTCTATTTTGACCTGTAAAATATTTTCACAGACTCCCCCATTGGGTGTTTTCTGTTTACATATCCTTGAGAGAGGAATGGTCTCTCCCAACCCGATTTTACCTAAATAGAATGGGAGTATTCTCCTTGCATCTCATAGTCCAGCTGCTTACTCTTAGAAATCTCTTAAATGAAACTGGAAAAATTTTATTTTTATTTAACTTTATTGTACCAGTTCATTGAAACAGCAAATACGTGCCATGGGTTGCTCCTTCATTCCAAGCAGCAGAAGTCATTGTGAGAGCAGTAGACTTACTGTCTGTCCTTACTATTATATTCTATTTGTGTCATCAACTATGTTCTCTCTCCTCTCATCCTGTTTGTTGATGCGTGTCTCTTAGGTTGGAGGTGCTCTTGAAATATCCAAAGATATTTGTCCATCTTTCCATACTTAAGATTGAAGCACTCAAAGCTAATGAAAGCTCTGGTCATGCCACGGTGTTCTTATAAAAAGGTTGCTTTTCGTTTACTTTCCACCATTTAGGTTTCATTTCTCCATTCTGACCATTACCATCTTCGAAATCTTTAATACTGTTATATACCAATTGTTATCTCTCCCATTCTCTTGTTAGTTTTTAACCTTTAAAAATTCCTTTACTGTCAATTTTGGTGGGTTTTGTGTGGAGTAGAGATGCAGGCCTGAGTTCTGTACAGCCAATGTAACAATACTTAATTGCCAGTAAAATTGGATTTGGGGTTTATCTTCAGTTCAGTAAACTTTATTTTTATGCATCATGTCCCAGGAATGTAGGCCATCAAATACCCTAAGTCATAATTTGATCCTCCATTGTCAACCACAACACTTACACTATGAAGAGAGATCCTACCCAGGATCCTCTCTGAACCACCTTTCTAATCTAACAACTGCCCTAGAATTACATCCTGAAAACAAACTCATTGGAGTTATTGCCCTCTTGGAAATCTTAAATGGCTTATGACTTTCAAATCCATTTCTGGCTCTTTGTCAAAGCCTTCTGCCTTCTATGATCTGAGTCCCCTGAAGCACACTTCATTCCTCAGTGTGCCAGCCATTTGCTGAGTATATGGTGGTGTGCATTATTATGCCTGCCACTGTGACTTTCAGGTTGCTCCCTTGGCTGTAATGGTTCTCTTGCAGTCTCTGTGAGCAAATAATTTTCATTCTTATAGCGCCATCACAGTAAACCCCTCAACCCCCACTGAATTAGTCCTTTTCCTACAGGATACCTTGTTTCACTATTTAGCATTTATTTCATTTACATCTACAGTAATATAAAACAGGTTCTAAACAAGTCTCAGCCCCCTTTTGTGAAAGCACCATCTTCCCCTGGACCACATTCCCCCTTTTTGCCTTGCCAGCAAACCTCACTGCATTCCCTAGGCTATTTGGAGCTCAGGTTAAACTCTGGGTCTGCCTGGCCCTTATGCCCAAGCCCTCTCTCTTCTCAGCCATCCCTCCACTTTAGAATTGATGGAAGAGTGACACTACAGGCATGGGTTCTGGCTTTCTGAGCTGGCCATTGACGGGTAAGATGATCAGACCTATGGAGGAGTCTGTTTCCATGGGAGGAGTCTCAATGAATGGAATACGGAAGACAGGAGGTAGCCAGGCAGATGTATTCCCCTCCTTTCTCCCTGATGTGAATTATTCTCAGGAGTGATTTTTCCTTTCAAGCCTTCAGAAGTCCATCCTGCTGAGTGAACTCATGCCAGACATCCTGTGTGTCTTTCAGGCTCATTGTGAAGCCTGCCAGTGAGGTCACCCATTACCTCAGGTGGCTCTGCATCTTTTATTGCTGTACTTTCCTGTTTCTTCACCTAGTGTTTCTACTCATTGCTAATAAAATGCCAGCACTTTAATCCTTACCCCAGGCTCTGCTTTCTAGAGGACTTAGGCTGAGACACTTAAGTATTTGTTAACCATATCTAATAGTCACAGCTTTTAATTCATTCAGGTAGGCAGAGGAGAATGGACTTAGCAGAGGTCTTCCAACTCTTTTCACTTTGAGAGCCTATAAAAATGTATAACTTTTAAGGAATACAGCAATCATTTACATCTAAGCTAACAATTTATTAAGTATGGATCTCATTTTCATATACGTGGAATAGATTTTGAAGTTTGGGTGTCTCCCATGACCCATTTATTCAGATAACACTTCTGAAGCTAGAGTCACTTTAACAGGTGGTAGCAGTTATGTGTATTTATGTGAGTCTACATATTGCTGAGAACAAGCCTGATGTTATTATAAAACTTATTTAGCTTTTATAATCTCAGATCTCTTGAATTGGTGCATAATGATCTCCCTCTGCAGCTGTAGGTACAAGGATCATCTTTACTTCTGAGATGACTTTTTTAAAGATTTATTTATTTATACAAGCACTGGGTGCAGTCAGAAGCGCGGGAGAGTGAGAGAATTCACCGGAGCCAGAGTGGGGAGCAGAGCAGGCAGAAGGACTGAAGTACACTGCTGAGGGGAGCAGCGGGTGGCAGGAGAGGTCTGCGCGCCATGTGGGACCCTCCTGTGGTGGCCGGGGAGCAGCCAGGGATTGAACCGGAGCTGCAGAGGCTGCGGGCAGCTTTGCAACCCAGTGCTCAACCGCTGAGCCACTGGGGAGGCCCTCTGAGATGACTTTTTAAGAAACAGTAAAATTAATCCTTAGTGTACAATTCTATCCGTTTTGACAAGCATATTCAGCTTTGTTAATGACCATCAAATTGAGAGCAGTTCCGTTCCCCTGCCTACCCAATTTTCTTGACATTCTGTGGTAATGTTTCAATAGTGTTTACATGTGTACAGTAAGTATAAGTTTAATTTTTAAGAAACTGCCAAACTCTTTTCCAAAGTGGCTGTACTATTTATATACAGACCAGCAATGACCATTCCAGTTAGTCCACATTTGACAATACTTGATAGTCTTTTAAATTTCAGTCATATGGGTGTGTAGTAGTAGCTCGTTTCATTTGCATTTCCCTGATGACTAATGTTGAGCATCTTTTCATAGGTTTTTTGGCCTTTCATAAATCTCTGAAATGTTTGTTGAAATGTGTCACCTATTAATAAATACATTGTTTCTCATTGAGCTGTAGTTCTTTAAAATTTGGATACGAGTCCTGTTAGAATATGTAAAAATTGTTTTCATATATATTCCGTGTTCAAGCCACACATTTTTCTGTTTATTTTTTGCTCTTCCTTAACTAGGCTAAGGTTTCTCTCGGGACCTTTGTACTCTTTGTTGCCTGGAATGCTCGCTCTCCAGTTACCCATAGCGCTTGCTTTCTAGACCTCTTCCAGTCACTGTTTAAATGCACCCCCCTCCCCCGCCTCTTTTTTAAAGATTTATACAAGAACTGGGATACAGGGCAGAGGTGTGGGAGGGTGACAGGATTCACCAGAGACAGAGCAGGGAGCAGAACAGGCAGACGACCAAAAACACTGCTGAGGGGAGCAGTGGGTGAGACAGGAGAGGTCTGCCCTGCCATGTGGGTCTCACTGGCCAGCCAGGAATCGAACCTGCGCTGCAGAGGCTGTGGACAGCTTCACAGCGCTGCTCTCAACCCCCTGCGCCACCAGGGACTCCCTAAATGGCCCCTTTTGATGAGATCTTTCTTGACCATCCTATTTAAAACAGGATGTCCACCACTTGGCATTCCCCCCTTTTCTATTTATTTTTTCTCTCCATAGCACATATATACCCAATGGCTGTATTTGTATTGTTTTTGTAAAGAAAAGTATTGACCATGGTGAGTCCTAACTGTAAAAAACGCAGAAAATAATTCTGTAGCCTATTTAGGGGATTACCTCCTCTTTTGGAGGCTGATACATTCAGGCATGACCCAAGTTAGGGTTAAGTTAGGGCAAGTTAGGGTTAAGATGCAGCTTCAGGGACAGTGCAGGTTGGGACTTTGTGAAAGTTAGAGGCTTCTGACATAAGGGCAGAGAAATCCAGGGGGCTGATGACAGTAAATTCTAAGAGATGCTAACCGAAACATACTCCAGAGATGACGTCACAAAGTTTAGGAGCACTAAATAAATATAGCAAGACCTGAGAGAGTAAGACCTTGGAGAGGGGAGGTAAAAGGAGAAACTGATCTGGGAAGAGTAGAGCAACTAAAAGAAAGAGCCAATCAAAGTAGGATGATGAGCTTTTAGATTAGAGGAAAAAAGATTTAAATATCCCCTAGAAATGGGCCCATGACGGCTTCTTTGCCCCTCCCAGGTACAGCACACCTGGGAGTCCTTGCTTTCTTCCTTTACACTGTTTTTTACTTTCTTGAATAAAGTTCGCTTCTCTCTACTTATCTGAAAGTCTGTGAATTTCTTTTTACGGCTTCCCGGGACAAGAACCTGTGGCGGCCTAAGGGCTAAATTAACGGCGCACACCAGCTTCATGAAGACGAAGAAAGGGTTGACAAAGCACGGTCACCTACCAAGTGCCCGCGGGAAAACGCCGCGTGCCAGGAGATCCCAAGGACCGCACTGAGAGCGAGAAGGGAAGAGTCCCATCTGTGCCGGAAAGGAACTGTTGAATCTCAAGCATTGGAGAGATATATAGGGCTCATCTCGGTCACACTTAGGGCTGCACAGAAGACGCAAAGCGGGACAAGGAGACGGTCAGCACGCGCGCCAGCCCTCAGCTCCCGCCCCCGGCCCACGGCCCCTTTTCACATCCACCGCCGGAAGTGACGGCGGGGAGCTCCTGCTCCCCTTCCCGCCCGCTGACCTGACTCCTGCTGAGAGAAATAAACAGCTGAGGGGCGGGCCGGACCGCAGCCCGGAGTTTACGTCCTGAGGAGATTGAAAAATACTCCGCGACCCCAAGCCCGCCTAGCTGGAAACAGGCTCCGGGCGGTGGAGCCGCTACCGCCGAGCTTCCGGAAGTTGAGGGGTTTGTTTCCGAGGGGAAGCTCTTCAGAGACGGACCGGCGACTCGAAGGTGCGGGCTCCCGGCTCGCGAGCTGGCTGGGCGGGGCTGGGCCGCGTGGTGCTGAGCGGGGAGAGCTGAAGGTGAGGGGTCGGGAGGCCAGCCCCTGGCGATGTCTGTGATTCCCTCCGTCCTTGTTCCCCAGCGCCTACGGAAGCCGGGTTCTGGAAGTAGACCAGGGAAATGAGTCTGTTCTACGTGTAGTGTTTAGTAAGGGTACATGACACCGAGGAGCGCCGGACTCGCCAATGTTGTGGCGAGGCTTACGAGGGACCTAGTGCAGGGCCTCTGCGCTTGTCCGCAGAAGAGGCAAGCCAGCCCCACATCATGGAGTGGAGCGCCTTAACGTAAAGCTGGGACTTAGAAAAGCAGCGAAAGGACAAGATCAGATTTACATTTTGAAAGGTTCCTTTGCCGATGAATTATCGGAGGCAGGAATTGTAAGGAGACCACGTTTAAGAGCCTCTGTTGCAGATGAGAGGTTGTGGCACTGGGTAGGGAGAGAAGTGGTCAGTCAAAATGATATTTAGGAGGTGAAGTTCATAAGAATTTATGGATTAGATATGGGATTTACGTAAGAGATTGATATCCAACTATGAGTTTCTGGCGAAATTATATAAAAACATTTTTTACTTTTGTTAAAGGTCTTTTCTCCCATTGTAAGAACCAAAACCTCGAAGTTTTTTTCTTCCCTGGTTGTGTACTCATATTTTGTGTACTCAGTACACACTCAAAAATATTTTGTGCAAAGGACAGTAAAAACTACCTATATAATTCTACCCCAAATGGCCATATTTTGGTATATATCCTTAATGTTTTCTGTATCTTTTTATATAATTAAGAACCTATTCATTATCTTTCTGTGTCCTTTTTTCCCCTCATTGGACACTATCAGGACAATGAAGATTGACCTGCTGTGTGCCAGAACATTGCTCATTTATTTCCCCTGATTATAACAGAGCAATTTAGGTGTGATTCCACCCAGTCAGAGATGACTAGCTTTTTGGTGTATATTCCTTTCAGTCTCTGTGCGCTTTTTAAAAACCCGACGATTTGACCACGTTTTATGTTTTCCTTTTCAATTAGATGTTTTTACCTAATGTTATTTATTGCTATTTTCATACATCCTTACCTACTTTTCAAGACTACAATTTTTAATGGTTTTTTAGTCACAACCAATACTGGCTAGATAGGTGGTTTTCAACATTTTACTGTTAGAGTGGGACAGGGACATCTTATTGTATAAGTTCTTGGAATTCCAATAATCTTTAGAAAGTCCTACAAGTAGAACCAGCCACCTAAATGGATAAAATGAGCCTATCATATTGCCTCACCTAAATATCTTAGGTCTTTGTATTCTGTCCTTGTCAAACTTTCATATAAGAAAGGGCCAATATTAATTGATTATTTATTAAGTGTGTCGTCTCTGTTTAAATGCCATGTGTGAATGAATATCTGAGTCAAAGGTCATACTTTCTTCTATAAAACTCTTTTCTTCTTTAATACTTGTGTCTAGATCCTGCTAAAATATAAATAAAATGTGGAGATTGGAAAGCTTAAAAGCCTAAATTGGAGTGAGGTTTCATTATTACTGTAAGTAAGCCATGGTCTAAAAAATTCCAGAAATCCCACTCCTAGTTCTGTGTTGGGGAAGCTCTCTGTCAGCCATGCATCAGAGCCTGCACATAAGCAGGGGACCAGGCACCAGTCTTGATCCTTTCCTAGGAGTGGCAAAGAAAGCAGCCACTTGGGATGAGGTTTTCTGGTTTGACACTTCTGCCATTTTATTATTAGTTATTTTAATTTTTTGTTAGCGAGTATATTTGTTAATGAATTATAGCATTAACTTTGAATCAAAATAAGTCTGTCTTTCTGGTTTTGTGCAGTAGAATCCTGCTTATCTATGAAATGCAGTTAACTCATCAGCTGGACCTATTTCCCGGATGCAGGGTGACCCTTCTGTTATTTAAAGATGTGAAAAATGCTGGCGATTTGAGAAAAAGGGCCATGGAAGGTGCTATTGATGGTTCATTAATAAACCCTACAATGGTAAGTACAAAGGGAGGATGAATAAGCTATAGGGGGCATTTAAGAATGTTAATTTTTCATGATACTATTGGTTAGCCTAAAATTGCCATCAGATAATTCGTTCTTGTCTATAAACAGTGGAATGAAGTCAGATTTGTTCAACCTTGAATTTAACAGTGAATAGAAATGAAAGTACCTAGCCCTCCCTGAGGAAATATGAGAGGTTGTGGTCTGACTCTGACATAATGGCATATGCCTACATCTCCACCTTTTGATCTGAACTAGAAAATCCTTGCAGAGAAGGTGTAAGAGCACCCACTGGGATCACATTCCAGGACATAGTCCTAGCTCTGCTACTTATGTCTTTGTGCCAGTGGTAGCCAACTTTCATAGACAGTGCCTAGAACTGTTATAAATGCCTTACATATTCTAACTCAATCTTCACAACAACCCTGTAAAAAGTGCTATGATTATCTGCATCTAACAGATAAAATCCTAAATAATTTGCCCAAGTAAGTTCGGTGGTGAGTAGCAGGGCTGAGACTCAAACCAAGATATTATTTGCATTAGTTTCGTCATCCATTACATGTGAATAATTAAACCAAGTTCATATGGTAGATTTGAGAATTAAATAATAAAGGTAAAATGTTTAGATCATGGCCTTTTCCATAATATTAGACCTTGATAAACATTATTTAAATTTTTTTTACCATTAAATTTCTTGCCACTTTAAAATTCTGTGATTTTTCTGAATACCCAGGCCTTTGAGATAGTATTTTGGGGGGTGGGGGGGAGAAAGAGGGAGAGAGAGTAATTTTGAAAATGTAGACCATAGAATTATGGTGAAGTAAAACAGTCTTACACTGGAATTACCATGAGGTAGGACATGCATCTTCAGAATGCTCCACATTTCCTATGTGTAATTCTTTTTGTTCTCTTTGGTAGATTGTCGATCCATTTCAGATACTTGTGGCAGCAAATAAAGCAGTTCACCTCTACAAACTGGGAAAAATGAAAACAAGAACTCTGTCTACTGAAATTATTTTCAACCTTTCCCCAAATAACAATGTAATTGATTCAGAATTACTTACTTTATTTCTATTGATCTTGTCATGGTAGCATGTGTGTTCCTGTGTTGGGTTGGAGGCCAAATTCTTGTAAGTTTGTTGTTGGTGACAAACCAAAATCGTGAAGAAAGCTCTAGATAGAGTTGAGGTTTTTAGCACTGCCTTTTACTAGGCAAACAAATAAGCTTTGGAGTCAGTTTACAATATGAGTAAACAAAAATACAGCCAGGTTAAGTGAGGATAATTAAATGATGTGTCTTTCTTGTCATATAGAATGAAGAAGGCATTCTTTGCCTCAATGCTATTTTAGCCTAATGATATCTAAGTCTCTATCTTAAGTAATAAAGAATTAGGCATAGGTATTTGTGTGTTATCATGTGCATTTTTCACTTTCCTATAAACTCCTTGAGGATAGATTTCATGTCTTTTCCATATACCAGAATTCTGCCTGGTACCTAGAACAGCCCTTAACACATGGCTCACTCACATTCCCTGTGAATAGGAAGAGTTTGTTGTTTGTAGTTTGATAACTTTGATAGTAATATCAAAGTTGAGCTAATGATATTCTATATGTGGCACATAAGAAAAAAATAACTGGGGCCTCCCTGGTGGCGCAAGGGGTTGAGTCTCAGCACTATGAAGCTATCCACAGGCACTGCAGCACGATATCCAGCCAAGGAGCTGGCCCACATGGCGCTGCTACCACTCCTGTCTCGCCTGCTGCTCCCCTCAGCAGTGTATTTCAGTAGCTCCACCTGTTCCGCTCCCCACTCTGTCTCTGGTGAATCCTCTCACCCCCTATTCCCCGCACCTCTGGCCTACACCCCAGCTCTTGTATGCATAAATAAATAAATCTTTAAAAAAAAAAAGAAAAAAATTTTTTCTGATGGTTTTACTGTTACTATTACTATCAATTACTGTTACTGAAACTATTACTATCAATTACTGTTAATGACACTACCAAGTACTAGTGTCAAGAGAAAAATTAGGTGTTCATAAAGTTTATAAAATGCACAGTAATAGAATTTAGTACCTGAAAAAAATTTACCAGATAATTATTATTCCTCTGAGATCATTTGAAATAATTCAAGAAACAATCTTGAGCTTTTCCAACTTCCCATTATAGTTTGAAGAACAGAAAAAATAAGTATGTTCTTGAGGAAGACAGATGAACAAGACAGAAGTTCAAATGCCCTAAACTAAATGAGATAATAGGAATAATGAAACCTAATGAAACAGTGAAAAAACTCATTCTGTGGGAATTGAGGGTACAGTGGGGCATGACATTTGAACTGAACTTGAAGGATGAAGGCAGTAAAGGCAGAGGACAAAGTATGAGCACAGGCCAAAAAAGTGTCACATGTGACAGGATGGGCACACAGTCCCTACTGGCTGGGATGGCGGGAGCATGTGACTTGGTCACTTGGGACCCGTGGGAATGGGTGTTAGTGTGCCATGTCAACAAATCTCATCCTTAGGATTTTGGTACAGCTTTGAGCAGGAAGTACTCTAGAGTCAGAACTGGTAGATGTTAAGAGGGAATGGTTGAAAAGAAAAGTCGTAGGCTGAGAGAACTGTTTGGATGTGAGAAATAAGATCCTGACCAGGGAAGAAAGCAAATGGAGAGATGTTTCAGAAACAGTAACTACCAATTCATTGTCTTTATTTTCCCCTTAGATTTCAGAGGCTTTGAAAAAATTTGGTATCTCAGCAAATGATACTTCAATTCTAATCGTTTATGTTGAAGAGGGAGAAAAGCAGATAAATCAAGAATACCTTATCTCTCAGGTAGAAGGTCATCAAGTTTCTCTGAACAGTCTTCCTGAAATAACAAATACTACAGACGTCAAAAAGGTTTGTAAATCACTATTTTTAGAAAGTGTGATAGATGAGGACAGTCAATGTTTTGTTTTGATCACCAGTGCTCCTTTTTAAACTTTATAAAAGGTTAACATAATTTAAAGAAAAGTATAGATCCAAGTTTATGTGAAAATAATTATAAACTTAGTTAATAAAAGCATTCGTCACTTTAATGAAGAATAGATACCTTTAAATGTGAAACTTTAAAAGTACATTTAAAATGTAAAATAAGGGCCTCCTCTGGTGGCACAGTGGTTGAGCGCTGGACTGTGAAGCTGCTCACAGTCTGCAGCACTGGTAGGATCCCTGGCCACCACCGAGGATCCCACATGGCGTGACAGATCTCTTCCTGCCGCGCCCACTGCTCCCCTCAGCAGTGTATTTCGTCGGTCTGCCTGTTCTGTTCCCCACTCTGGCTCTGGTGAATTCTGTCACCCTCCCATGCTTCTGACTGTACCCAGTGCTTGTATAAATAAATAAATAAATGTTTAAAAAATAATAATAAAGTAAAATATAAAATAAATATAGTATGAAGTTAATGTCTAGATATGTGTTAGAAACACATTTGGTTTCTATGGTTAGAGTTGTCACCATAACTGCAATTTAAAGGGAACTTTTGACATGTGATGAATTCCCATCCACTTTGTATATTTTAATCACAGTTGTAATTTTTTTTTTTTTTAAATAGAGGCATGTTATTTATTTATTTATTTGTTTGTTTGTTTTGTTTATACATGCACTGGGTACAGTCAGAAGCGCGGGAGGGTGAGAGAATTCACCAGAGTCAGAGCGGGGAGCAGAGCAGGCAGAAGGACCGAAGTACACTGCTGAGGGGAGCAGCGGGCGGCAGGAGAGGTCTGCGCGCCATGTGGGACCCTCCTCTGGTGGCTGGGGAGCAGCCGGGGATCGAACCAGCGCTGCGGAGGCCGTGGGCAGCTTCACAACCCAGCGCTCAACTGCTGCGCCACCAGGGAGGCCCCCACAGTTGTAATTTTATACCATTTTGCCAGTAATTGGATGATAAATGATTATACTTATACACGTTTGCATAAAGAAGTTAGTAATTTGTATATACTAACATGTCATAATTTGTCTTTTACAGATATATAAATTATCTTCACAAGAAGAAAGTATCGGGACATTACTGGATGGTATCATTTGTAGAATGTCAACAAAAGATGTTTTATGAAATGACAGAAATGTCAACAAAAATTTTCAGCATCAAAAATTTGATTTCCCTTTCCTGATTATAAAGTTAATACAGACATCTCTGTTATAAAGATATCATCATAAATGAGTAGAAAGTTGAAGCTTCCCTGTGATCGGTGTTCAGACTCAGATCTGTGCTCGTAATGGCTCTATCACACTGTCTTTCTGTGCCATTACTATAATATGTTCTTTTCATCAGTGTGTAACTTTGCTTATGCTTTTAATTGCTTTAAAATGTTCAGTTTTGCAAATTTCTGTACATTTCCATTTCTTGAGGATAGCCTCCGTAGCGTAGAATTATTAGGGAAGAGGTTATAAACTTAAAGGATTTTAATATTGGGAGTCTTTGCACATGCCACGCTCGGCAGCATTGCTTTTATTTTTTATTTATTTATTTTAAAAGATTTATTTATTTATTTATTTATACAAGCACTGGGTACAGTCAGAAGCGTGGAAGGGTGAGAGAATTCACCAGAGCCAGAGCGGGGAACAGAACAGCCAGACTGACGAAATACACTGCTGAGGGGAGCAGCAGGCGGCAGGAGAGGTCTGCGCGCCTTGTGGGACCCTCGTCGGTGGCCGGGTTTTGAACCGGCACTGCAGAGGCTGCAGGCAGCTTCGCAACCCAGCGCTCAACCACTGCGCCACCAGGGAGGCCCAACAGCAGTATTGCTTTTAACAGACATTGCCATGTTGAGAAGTTGGACTGTATGTTAGAAAAAGTGGTTTTAAAGGTGTTATTTCTCTAACTGTATTTGTTTTCAACTCCTTTGACCCTTTGGGTCAAGAAGAAATAAAAGACAAAGTAATACCATTTCTTAAGAAAGAAAAATTAGCAGAAGTTCTACAAGACTTATGAAACTCTTTTTGAGCCAATTTGGAATAATGTTCTTTTTTTAAATTTTTTTAATTAATTATTTTTTGTTTACATCATTGTTCATTTTTAAACAATATTTGCTTCCCCCCACCCCCTCAGGTGTAGTCCTCATAGAGTTGCCTTCACCAATGCACCCGTGCATCATCACCTCAGTCCCCTGTGCTCCTCCCTCCCTCCCTTGCATCCCTCTCCCTCCTCTTCCCCTGCAGTATGTCTCTGATTTATAATTGTCTGTTTTTGCTTTGTTGTGTTTTGTACTATTAATATTTTTTTACACTGAGTCTTATTTGGTTCCCCTATATTCCTGCTATAAGTGAAACCATTGATATTTTTCTTTTTCCTTCTGGCTTATTTCACTGAGCATAATTCCTTCCAGCTCCATCCACGTTGCTGTGAATGGCATGAGTTTATCTTTTTTGATTGCTGAATAATATTCCATTGTGTATATACACCACATCTTCTTGATCCAGTCATCTATTTTGGGGCATTTGGGTTGTTTCCAGGTTTTGCCTATTGTAAATAGTGCTGCAATAAACATAGGTGTACAGATGCTCTTTTGAATCAATGTTTTGTGTCCTTTGGGTAGATCCCTAGGAGTGTAATTGCCAGGTCATATGGTAGTTCCATTTTTAGTAGACTGAAGAACCTCCAGACAGCTTTCCATAGTGGTTGGACCAGTTTGCACTCCCACCAGCAATGTAGGAGAGTTCCTTTTTCACCACATTCTCCCCAACATTTGTTGTTGCTTGTTTTTTTTTGGTATGTCCCAGTCTTACTGGTGTAAGGTGGTATCTCAATGTAGTTTTGATTTGCATTTCCCTGATGATAAGGGATGTTGAACATTTTTTCATATGCCTGTTGGCCATTTGTATTTCCTCTTTGGAGAAATGTCTTTTAAGTTCTTCTGCCCATTTTTTGACTGGATTGTTTGTTTTTGTTGAGTCATGTGAGTTCTTTGTAAATCTTTGTTATCAGTCCCTTATCAGTTGAATGGAGTTCAAAGATTTTTTCCCAATCAGAGGGGTGTCTTTCTGTTTTGGTTAATGTACAGAAGCTTTTCAGTTTGATGTAATCCCAGGTGTTTATCTTTTCCTTGACTATCTTTGCTTTGGGTGATGAGTTGTTAAAGATGTTATTGCGATGTATGTCTTGTAGTGTTTTACCTATATTTTCTTCTATATATTTTATGGTTTCAAGTCTTATGTCCAGTTCTTTTATCCATTTTGAGTTTATTTTTGTGCATGGTGAGAGGTAGTGGTCTAGTTTCATTTTTTTGCATGTGGTGGTCCAGTTTTCCCAGCACCATTTATTGAACAAACTGTCTGTGTTCCATTGCATGTTCTTTGCTCCTTTGTCAAAGATTAGTTGTCCATGTAAGTGTGGCTTTATTTCTGAGCTCTCTATTCAGTTCCATTGGTCTGTGTGTCTGTTTTTGTTTCAATACCAAACTGTTTTAATTATTATGGCTTTATAGTATAGCTTGAAGTTTGGAAGTGAGATAACTCCTTTCTCCTTTGTTTTCTTCAACTGGGCTTTGGCTATTTGTGGCTTGGAATAATGTTCTTTACCTAAACCAGATCGCTCCATGGCCTAAATAACCCCCCAGCAAAAGCAGCCCATATTAGAGGTTTTGTGGTGCTAGCAGAAAAGGGGATGTGGTCTTGGTAAGCCCCATGAATTTGACTCTTTAATCAAGGGTACAGATTAAAGCAAAATGCCAGCTCTCTCCTGATTTACCCTGTGGTAACATTGAGGAAGGCTCTGTTGCCCAGGTGATCTTTATTGTTCCCTACCTCCCCAGCCTTGGGAGCGATCATGGTTTTAAGTAATTATAGCAGAAGAGTCTTTAACAACCCTTCATTCCATTATCCCCCACATACACTCAAAAGTACAGGACAACTCGTAAGTCCTGAGCTGTATTTTAGGTGCCCCGTGACCCATAGCCTTTGTTTTGGGGCTTTGCAGCTGTCTGCTGTCTGCTTTCTGCTTTTCCTTTCTTATGATCCTGGCTCAGTTTTACTAACTATAGTACCTCTCTGCACTCACATTACTATTTTTTTTTAAAAAGATTTATTTATTAATGCATAGAAGAGCTGGGACATAAGCCAGAGATGAGGGAGGTGAGAGGATTCACCAGAGACAGAGTGGGAAACAGAACAGGCAGATTGACTAAAGTACACTGCTGAGGGGAGCATTGGGCAAGTCAGGAGAGGTCTCCTGCGCCATGTGGGTAGCTCCCTGGCTGGGGATCGAACTCATGCTGCAGTGGCTGTGGACAGCTTCATAGGTTGCATATTAACCCCTGGTGCTACCAGGGAGGCCCTCACATCACTATTGAGTAAAGCATAACCTGCTTTGGTCTCAGAATGAGTACAGTTTGTATTCATCATATTTGCACTTTCTTGATGTTTTCATAATCTCTTCCAATTTTCCTCTCCAAATCACTGTCCCCCCACTCTTCTCTCCATTCTGGGGATTAACCTATATGTGCACAGCAAGTGGTTTCCCTTCTCCTTGGCTTCTGCTGGTATTTAGCCAGTGTGTGAGGAAGGGGTAGCTAGCAAGAGGTTGATGGGAGAAGAGTGAGACCAGAGTGTTTACTGTTCCAGTTCCCTGGACCCCTCAGAACAGCCCACTCTGCTCAACCCCTGGCTCTGGTTCCACTCAACTTCCTCCTGCCTTGTTTCAGGCCTCTGGGCAATAATGCCATTCCTTGCTCCCCTTTACCCAGCTACACTTTCATAATTATTGTCTCTATAATGTCTACTTGAGTTACTCTAATTGAGTGTTGGGACCAGATCCTTTCTTCCTCAGAATTTGTTAAAAGTTTGCTAAAGAATATTTCTCTAGGGCCTTCCTGGTGGCGCAAGGAGTTAAGCGCCGTGCTATGAAGCAGTCCACAGCCTCTGCAGCACGAGTTTGATCCCTGGCCAGCCGGAGAGCTACCCACATGGCAAGGCAGAACTCTCCTGTCTCGCCCACTGCTCTCCTCAGCAGTGTGTTTCAGTCAATCTGTCTGTTCTACTCCCCACTCTGTCTCTGGTTGGTCTTCTCACCCCCTGCATCTCTGGCCTGTGCCCCAGCTCTTGTATGCATGGATAAATAAATATTTAAAAAAAAATATTTCTCTAGAGCAGGCCAATTACCCTAGACTTTCCGAACATCTTACCAAGGATGACCTATCTTTCTACATTATTTCTGTTGCCATTGTTTCTTAGTTCTCAGTGGAAGTCCAGGGCACTGACATGAAATTGGGTTACTGGGAACCCTGAGGAGAAGTCAGGGAATATGACCCCTTAAGTTATTCCAGAAACTTAAGTTAAACGTCCTGAATTATTTTTCTTACTGAGATTTCCAAAACATAATGCCTGTATACCTTCTATCTCATTGGTCCTTCCTGGACGGGGCTGGTCCTTAGGCGAGTGTTCTTCATAGATGGTAAGCATTTGTCTACATGTGCTCTCAAGTCCCACAACTCTTGGAACGATGATTCCAAACATATAACCTATTATAGTCAGTTTCCTATGGGTAATAGAAAGTTGAGTAAAATCACAGTACTTGACACTGTTAATATCTAGTTTAATTAACAATTACTTGTTAAGCAAATAACAGCAATAAGTACTTAGAAGTGTGATGCTTTATGGGGGTGGGGTTGGGGGGACATACAAGGTCCATCTGGTTGGGAGAGGTCAGAAATCTTGGTGGTGAAGGTAGCACTAAATTGGATCTTGAAAAATGAACAGTCTTAGTCACATAGTGGAACTCGGCCAAGTATGGCCTGACCATTGGCAATAAGATGGATGATGGGGTTTAAGGAATGAATCTTAGCCCATCAGACAGAGCTGGTTCTCATCAAATGGTGCTTTACACTAATTTATAATGCACCAAATACTTGTCAGACAACTGTCCACGGAGTCAGCAGGTGATAATGAAAAAAGCAAAAACATGCAGGCCTAGGAGTCAGAACTGCTTGCACTTGAGTTATCACTCAACTACACCCTGAGAGGCCTTGGGTAAGCTATTTCAGCTTTTCTGGGCTTTAGTTTTCTGATCGTGAATGGGGATACTAATATCAACCTTATAGTTTGGGCTATTGTGAATATAAAATAGTACAGCATAGGAAAATCTCGCTATCACAGTGCCAAACATTTCATTTCTCTTAATGATTCTGGTGGAGCTAGCCCCTGTATATGCCAGGCAACAGTGCTAAGGCAGATAAAGGAAAATAGACTCACTGCTGGTGGGAAAGTGAAACGGTAAAGTCATTGGACAACAGTTTGGCAGCTCTCAAAAATGTAAAACAATTGCCATGTGACCCAGCAATTCCTCTTTTGGGAATATACCTCAAAGAAATGAAAACAGTGTTAAAACTGCTTGTACAGGAATGTTCAAACAGCAATATTCACAATAGCCACTAGGTGGCGCATCCCACATGCCTGTTGCGTGTTGGTAAGTGTGTAGGCACACAATGGAATATCAATCAGCCACAAAAAGCAACATGCTACAACATGGGTGAACTTTGACATGTTATGTGACAATATAAAGTGAAAGAAGCAGAACCTGAAAGCACACATACTGCATGACTCCATTTAAATGAGACATTCAGGGGCCTCCCTGGTGGTGCAAGGGGTTAACATGCAACCTATGAAGCTATCCACAGCCACTGCAGCACAAGTTTGATCCCTGGCCAGGGAGCTACCCACATGGCACAGCAGACCTCTCCTGGCTTGCCCGCTGCTCCCCTCAGCAGTGTATTTCGGTCAATCTACCTTTTCTGTTCCCCACTCTGTGTCTGGTGAATCCTCATCACCACCTCTCCCCACACCTCTGGCCTGTACCCCAGTTCTTGTATGCATAAATAAATAAATCTTAAAAAAAATAAATGAGACATTAAGGATAGACAAAACCATGGAAAGCAATCAGTGGTTGCCAGGAGCTGGGGGTAGGAGGGGAAATGGAGTGAGGGTTTAATGGGTAAGGAGTTTCCTTTTGGGATGATGAAAATGCTTTGGAACTAAACAGAGGTGGTCGTTGCACAAAATTGTCAATGTAGTAAGTGCCACTGGGTTGCACACATTAAAATTGTTAACTGAAAGACTAGAATAGAATAACACACCTGCTTGACCTTTAGGAGATCATAGTCATTACTGGGTCCCTGTAGATCCACAGTCACCTGGAGCAGAGCCAGGAGCTTCCCAAGCCACAGTTTCATCAACTGAAAGCAGGGCCAAGAGCTTGGAGTGGGCTAAGTCCTCCAGACTTCATCCTTTACATAGAGAATCACTGATAATTCCACTATTTAGAGAGAACATGCTGCCAACATTTTGTGAAACCACTCAAAACTTTTACCTCTGCATTGCTTGTGTATGTGTACATTATGTTAAATTATGTTTTCTAAAAAAGAATGAAGCCGTATGTATCAAATTACCTTTTTGGTACTATATGTTGGCAATTTTTAAATATCAATAAATACTTATAATCATTATTCATGACAGTGTGGAAGGATGAATAAAGGTTGACTGTAAACTGAGGCCACAGAGTTTTGAGGAAGCCACAGAAGTCCATTGAGAATACAGAGGAAAGGGTGGGACAGAGCACAGAGCTCTTCTTATGCTTCACCTGGACTATTAGATTTCTGACTGGTTAATATTAGACTCTTTAGGACACTCCACTGAACTTTGGAGCCCTCTGTTCTTTTTTGATTCCTAGTTTAAATTCCAAAACAGGGCCTTCTTGGTGGCCTAGGGGCTAATTCCAAAACAGGGCCTCTCAGTGCTATCCCCACTACAGCCTAAATTTAACCCCCAACCAGGAGCTAACCCACATGGCGCAGCAGACCTCTCCTGACTCGTCCGCTGCTCCCCTTAGCAGTGTATTTCTGTAAATTCACCTGTTCTGCTTCCACTTTGTCTCAGGTGAATCCTCTCCCCACCCCCCTACTTCTGGCCACCCCAGTTCTACACACACACACACACACACACACACACACAGAAAGTTAAGGTTTAAAAAACAAATTTTTCAAAACATTGTAGTGTTTAAAGGAAATATTAAAATGTCCTGAAAATAATGTAACAAATACCCATGGATTCACTACACAGTCTTCATGTTAGATAGAAACCGTCCTGGTGGTGTAGTTTGGTTGTATGCAAAAGATCCAGGATCTGTGCAGTCCCCATCCACTATCCACCATTCTGTCTGGTTTCAGATTAGGAAGACTGCAGGATGGCACCACTTTGGGGGTACTCATGATTGACACCTCGAGTCTGGTCTCCCTAGGTCTTAATAGATACTCATACCAAAAATCTGACCATCATCTGGGACCCCTTTCTTGTCCTCATTCTAAATGTGACTAGCTGCTGCCATATCTGCTCTCCATCACACCTGCACCTGGGCCAGGTCTCACCATTTCATCAGACATTCAATCCAAACTACCACTTTCTCCCGTGGGAACTCTCCTAGCCCAGGTGGCTCATTTCTCAATAGAACAAAGCAGAAGCTTTGATCACAGATGCCACCATAGGATGCACAGATTAGTGGGCAGCACTGCCTGGAACAAATAGGAAGTAGGTGACTTTTCTTTGGTCAGATTAAACTGTCTACCAGGACTCACATTTTACGATTGAATAAAGTTAGATTTTAGTACACACTAGCTCCTTGCACAGCTGAGCATTACAGTGAGCACTCTGTGTATGTGACTTAGAGGTCCCACTTTTGCTATACTAGCTTCTGAGGGTGTAGGGATATCCACTTCCATTCCTGTCCTCCTGTCCATTCTCTAAATGTACCCAGAGTAATATACACCCAAGCTGACAAACACACATTCGAAACACCATCAAAAACACCTCCAACCTTAACTATTCCTCCCATCGAACAGCATATTGAAGGCCAGCTGTGGTTCTAGGAATAGAGTCCAAACTCCTTGATCTGGACCACAGGCCCTGTGTGCCAGGGTTCTGCTACCCTCACCACGCCTCCCTCCGCAGACAAGTTACCATCAGTCCTGAAAGCCTTGTCCTTGTCCTGCCTCAGGGAATTCAGTCCTCTGGTCCCTCAGCCTGAAATCGTGCCCCTCACTCTGCCTAGCTCAGGCTGCCTCCCCTCTAGTCTCTGCCTCAAATCCCCCCAGAGGCTCACATCACACGCACTTGGATGCAGGCACTTACATGGCACCTGGCCCCAAACAAGCACAAAAATGTCACACACATGAGCTGGATTCTGATGGTCATACTTGCCTCAAAGGACTATGAGAAAATAGAGCTAGGGCCTGAGATGGTCTGGGGGAGGACATGTGGGGAGGGGTTCAAGGAAATTTCTGGAAGGTGCCCCTTCCTAACATATCAATTCCAGAAGGGACTTGTCTGTTTCTTCTGCACTTGTCTGTCTTACTGCTGCTACATCTCAGTAAAAAAAATTTTCACAATTGCTCAGGCACAGGTGTGACAAAGGCCGGAACCCACAGTTCAGGCACAGTCCAGGCACCCATGGCTGAGCATCAGTGGAGCTTGTCCTGAAAGTGACCCCTGTACAAGAGCTACATCCTACTGTGGTGGGAGGGTGGATGGATGGATGGATGTGGGGGGGGGGAATGGTTGGACAGCATGGTGAGGTAAGTGCAGGGAGTAAAAATGATCAGGGCCTCCCTCGGTGGTGCAGGCGATTGAGTGCAGTGCTGTTAAGCTGTCCCCAGCCTCTGCAGCACTGGTTTGATCCCGGCTGGCCAGTGAGGGTCCCACATGGCGCGGCAGACCTCCCCTGTCTCGCCGCTGCTCCCCTCAGCAGTGTATTTCATCAGTCTGCCTGTTCTGTTCCTCGCTCTGTCTCTGGTGAATCCTCTCATGCTCTGCGCATCTGGCCTGTACCCCAGTTCTTGTATGTCTGTATAAATAAATAGATAGATAGATAGATAGATAGATAGATAGATAGATAGATAGATAGATAAATCTTAAAAAAAAAAAAAAGATCAAATGGCTTAGACCAGGTCCAGCCACGGCAGAAGCCCAGCTGTGAAGTCCTCATGTGCCAGGCAGAGTCATGGACTCTGACCTCAAATGGCAGAGCACAGGGTGAGCGAGGCATTCCAGCAGTGTGTGGAGAAGCTGAGGTGGAAAGCAGGGGCACAAGGGGTAGGTGGGACATGCTTCAAGGGGTGAATTCCCATGGGAGCAGGGGTGAGGGCTGTCCACAAGGGCCAGGCCCCTGAGCTGTTCCAGACCCTGTCTTTTCCCCTCCAGACAACTCCCTGGTGACCACAGAGGAGAATGGAGTGTGGGTTCTCTGCTCTGCCTAACCCAGCTCCTTGACCCTGGGGTTTATGATTATCAAATATCTGAGTCAGCCAATGAGGCTGTGCTCAGAGCCTGGTCCCCAGAGGTGGAGCTGGCCTTAAACAGTCTCTGCTGGATACCGGTTGGAGGTTTTAAAGGGAAGAGGTCAGAGTCTAGGCTGAGGCCACCCTGGACAGACAAGTCTTCGCGGTAGCAGGTGAGAAGACATGGGTAGAGGGACAGTGCTAGGAGGTGGCAAGATCCAGTACCTTCTCATCAAGTCTGGGTCATTTCAGGTGTTGGGCTATTAAACCAGTTTGGCAGTCTCAAAATTTGCATTCAAGGACAAGAGACCTTTGCTGAAACTTGTGCTTGGAAACACAGGATTCTTGAAATGGATGAGGAAGAGGGATTAGAGGGAGGGCACAACTAGTCCGGCTGAGCCCAATGGACATTAAGCCAGAGCCAGTGAAAGGGGAGAGAGGATGGGTGGGAGGGCACTTGACAGACTGCAGCTTAGGTATCTCATTAACTTCTCAGCACTAGCCACCATGGCAAGTTTTTATTATACCCTGTTGTTTAGGTGAAGAAACAGAGCACAGAGAGGTTAATTCACTTGTCCAAGGTCACACAGCCAGAAAGGGGCAGAGCCAGAATGAAATAACTGTCTTCTGGCCCAACACCTCCAGGCTCTGTGGCCTACTTCTTCCTGGGCAACAAAGAGAGAAAATCTTAAGTGGGGATCTCTCTTGTCTGGTAGGTGGGAGTGAAGGGGCCACTCACCCGGCTTCCTCTCTTTCCCAGGGCCGTTGAGCTGGTGTGAAAGGACTCCAAGAAGCTCTCGCGGACTCAGATTCATATATAAGCCATCATGACACTTTTTCCTCCTTATAACATCCGCAAATACCAGGACAGGGATCGAAAGTGGGTCCTAAGATTGTACAATGTATCTTAGCAGAGTATCCCCCCAGAACCTTCTGCCACATGCTGAAGCTTCCCCGAATAGTCCTGCTCCTGCTTGGGGTGCCTTTTGTAGTATTCCTGGTCACCGGCACCTGGCTCCCGGCCCTCCTGGCCAACGTTTCTCTCCTTGCTGCCCTGCGGTTCTTTGCCAAATACCCCTGGACTGAATTTGAAGTCATGTCTTTGCGCACAGACATGTCTGATATCACCAAATCCTACTTCAGTGAGCATGGTTCCTGCTTCTGGGTGGCTGAATGTGAGGGGCAGGTGGTGGGCATGGTGGGTGCTCTGCCCGTGAAGGACCCTGCCCTGAGGAAGGAACAGCTGGAGTTGCTTCACCTTTGTGTGGCTTTGGGGCACCGAGGTGGCGGGATAGCCAAAGCCCTGGTCAGGACTGTCCTCCAGTTTGGGCAGGACCAGGGCTACAGTGCAGTCGTCCTCAGCACCAGCTCGCTGCAGTACTCTGCTCTGGCCCTCTACCAGCGCATGGGCTTCCAGAAGACACACCACTACTTCTTCTCCTTGTGCTGGAGGATAATTGCTGCACATTCAATTCAATTCATCTACCACCTTCCCTGTGCTCAGGTCTCCAAGGAGATGAAGCAAGGTGGGGCCTGTGACCCGCTCATAGTGGATTAGTCAGGAGAGGATCAGCTCTGCTGCAGTAACGAGCAAGCTTGAAATTGTGTGAGTCACAATAAAAGCTGATTGCTGGTTCATGTCAGAGCCCTAAGTCGTGCTGGTGTCTGCTTCACGGGGGCCTTGTGGGTTAACAGTGTTTTGTGTATCTAGTGCTACAACATATTACATACAACAGCAGCCACATAATAAGAGGAACTTTTCATTTTCTTGTGAGGCTGTGGTCAACAATCTAGTGTGCACAAACAAACATGGCTGCACAGCTCTTTTGGTCTGACTGGCCTTGTTCACATGTTGTGGAATGGTTTGGGGGGCAGGGAGATGGGGCTTACTTATGTTCCAGCAGGCTAGGTCAGGCTTGCTTTGAAGGTAGTTGCAGAAGAACAAAAGTGAAGAAGAAACAAGATGAAGCTTTTCCATTCTCTGTAGGTGACATACCTGCTAACATCCATGAGATGGATGGGAGTGGAGAGAGGGGACCCTGCCTTTAGAGAGGGTCACATGACAAAAGGAGCATGAGGAGTGTGAGAAAGACCGGGGACAATGAGGCCCTCAATCTGCTCTGGGACCAAGGTGTCTGCTGCAGGGTTCTGAAGAAGGAACCCAGGGACAGAGTGGAGATACACTGGGCTAGACCTACAGAGGCACAGGCACATCCCACTGGCCAGATGTCAGTGCCTGGACCCCAACATGCTTAAAGTGAGACTGGGAGTGTGGGCATCCAGGAAGAGGAAATGGGATTGGCCAGTTTCCCTGACCTGCCAGAGCTGGGACCAGCCTCTGTCCCCAAATGCTTCTGGACTCCAGATGTTCAGGAGACTCTGGCCTGACCACATCATCCCTCAAGGCTCTGATACAAATGCAGATGGGGTTGGTAGCTGTGTCGTGTATGCCTCATTGTGAGCCCTTCCCTACCTGCTAGCACTGGAACTGGGTGTGCCCCCATAAGGCCTGGAGCCTTTCACTGGGTCCCCCAGCCACAGGCTGGGTCCGAGGATGAACTGAGCCCTCTCTGCGCCAGCATGCTCCATCCCTTTGAGGGACCAAGGAAGTCCTGGGTCCCTCTCAGCCTGGCTCACGTGACACTGCAGTTTTGCCACCCTTTCTACTCTGGCAGTGTCCTCTGCTCACAGATGAACTCATCTGAAGGGTCAGCAGGTCACAGGCCCAATCCTGTCCTGCCAAATGGATTTGTACAGGCGTGTTGCACCTCGGTGAGACCTGTCAGTCTTATCGACGGGACTCAGCTCTCTCTTTCCTCCATTTCAGCCTCTTTTCTCCCTGCCACTGTCCCTCCAGTGCCTTCTGCCTAGCCACCAACATATCCGGGCCCGCTGCCTTTTCCCCTTCAGCTGTGCCCTCAGAAAACTCAGCCATGCACAACACCTCTTCAACTGACCTAATCTGCCATTTCATCAAGCCCACTGCCTCCTGAGTTGTGACTGCAGTTTCCTTTTGAATGGTGGAGTTCGGCTGCCTCCCCAGTGTGCTCCTGCCTCTTGCTGCCCCTCTGGTTTTCCTGGGCCCTGTCAGCTGGCCCGCAGGAGGAGATCCCAACAGGCACTGGCCTGCGCCTGCACCATGGGACACCTACAGAGTTTAATTGAGAGGACGCTTTGAGAGGTTAATTGAACAACAGTTACAATGTGGTGTTTTTAATTCTAGAGAAACCTGGCCCATGCCCACCAGGGCTGTACATGCCAGAGAACTGCTTTCTTCCTCCTGATCTCAGTGATCTTTGCAACCCGGTGTCCCACCTCAGCTGGAAAGTAGAGGAGCTGACAAACACCAGAGGGGTGGCAGAGGCAGGAGGAGAAAACTGCAGGCAGAGGGAGAGCAGGGACTAAGGCTGAGGCAGAAAGAGCCTTGTTTGATAGAAAGGAGCAAAAAAGGGCCCAGGGTTGGGGCTTGAGTGCAGGGCATTGGAGCAGGTGATGGACAAGGCCGAGGCTGGTTCTGAATGTTCAGGAGCAGTAGCCTTGCTCTCTGGGATGCCTCCAGCTTGAGTGGGTGCTGCTCCAATGCCCAGCATGACCCTACTGGGCACAGGTGGTAGCCTGTCCACACAGCCCCTCCTGAGGTTAAGGAGCACTGATGTTTGACACTTCCTGGTGACTCTTAAGTCAAACTGATGCCAATGAGCCTGGACTTTGGCTGAGAGAGGATGTTGATGGCTGTGTGTGTGTGTGTGTGTGTGTGCATGCGTACCTGTGTGAGAATGTGGGGAAAGCGTTGGGAAATGAGTGGACTGAAAAAATACTTTTTCTGTACTGGGGTGTGTGCTGTGGCCCCTCCAGGCCCATGGTAATGAAGACAGATGTGAGAAGGGCCTCTCGGAGCTACATAGAGGTCCACATTTCTGGTTTGTATAGGACCCTTTGGGCAGAGTAGGGTACTGACAGTTTCAGTAAGTAGGAAGGAGGGAGGATGTGGTCCAGCTATTTCAGAGGTCAGTGCTTGGACCCAGAAAAAGACACCTAGAATGCTGACTCTTAGCTGGCCTGCTCCTCTCTTCAGTTAATAAGTGATTTGTTACATTTGAAGCATGAGGTCTCATTTTAAATTTGGTAAAAATTTAAAGTCATTAATTTGCTCTGGTTCAAGCAGTGTATTTGTAATTCTGTTGTGGGTGCACGCAGGGGCCTGTGACTCCTCCCTCTGCTCCTTCCTCTTCCTCCTGTTCTTATTTTCACAAATTAAAATGTATACAACTTGAGATTAGCCATGTCAGTAATTTTTAAGAGTACAGTTCAGCAGCACTAACTACATCACAGTGTGTAACCATCGCCTCTAACTACTCATACTTTTCCAACAGGCCAAACAGAAACTCTATACCCATTATGACATGTCTGGGTGTCTACCAACTGAGTGTCAACACAAGGAGCTGCATCATACTGGGTTGACGGAAGGGTGGCCAGACGGTTGGGCAGCCTAGATGTAAGTGCAGGGAATGAAAATTGTCAAATGACTAAGACCATTTCGGGCCAGGCAGGGCAGAAGCCCAGTTGTGAAGGCCTCATGTGCCCAGGCTGGGGTCGTGGACTCTGACTGGGATGGCAGAGCACTCCTCCATACCAGCAGCTGTGTGGACGTGCTGAGGTGGAAGGCAGGGAACAAGGGCTAGGTGGGACATGCTCTAGACTCAACACCCATGGGTGCAGGGGTGAGGGCTGTCCTTAAGGGCAAGGCCCCTGTGCTGTTCCAGACCCTGCCTCTCCTCCTCCAGACAACTCCCTAGTGACCACAGAGGGGAATGGAGTCTGGGCTCTCTGCTCTGCCTAACCCAGCTCCTCATTCCTGGGGTTTAGAATGAACAAATATACAGCAGCCTGCAAATGAGACTGTGATCAGAGCCTGGTCCCCAGAGGTGGAGCTGGCATTGGACAGTCTCTGCTGGATGTAAGTTGGGGCATAGGGCAGAGGCCAGGCTGAGGCCACCCTAGACACAAGATTCGCTGGTAACAGGTGAGAAGACATGGGTGGAAGGACAGTGCTAGGAGGTGGTTGGACCCCACACAATCTTTGGGCCCTCAAGTCTGGGCTATTTCAGGTATTTGGCTCTTAAGTCAACTCGGCAGCCTAAAAATTCATCCCAGGGGAATGGACTTTTGCTGAAATGTATGCTTGGGAACACAGGACTCCTGCAATGGATGTTCCCTGGGAGAGGGAGTAGAGGAAGGACACAGCTGGTCTGGCTGTTCCCAATGGAAAATAAGCTGAGAGCTGTAAAAGGGGAGAGAGGATGGGTGGGAGGGCACTTGACAGACTGCAGCTTAGGCAGCTTATTAACTTCTCAGCACTAGCCAAGATGGCAAGTTTTTATATAAGTTTTCATATAAGTTTTCTATAAGTTTTATGTAAGTTTTTATATAAGTTCTTCACGTGTTGTTCAGGTGAAGAAACAGGAGCTCAGAGAAGTTAATGAACTTGCCTAAGGGCACACACCAGAAATGGACAGAGCCAGGATGAAATAACTGTCTTCTGGCCCATCACCTCCAGGCTCTGTGGCCTACTTCCTCTTGGGCAAAAGAGCCAGAGAGTGAAAACCTTAAGTAGGGTCTCACTTGTTCTGGTAAGTGGGAGCGATGTGGGCACTCACCTGGCTTCCTCTTTTTCCCAGGGCTGTTGGGCTGGTACGCCGGGACTCCAAGCATCTCTTGTGGACTCAGATTAATGTACAAAGCCATCCATGGCTCCTTTTCCTCCTTATAACATACACAAATACAGGACAGGGATCGAAAAAGGGTCTTGGGCTGTTCTTTCAGGGGATGTGAGAATATGCCCCCACCACCTTCTATCACTTGTGAAGCTTCCCTGAATAGTCCTGCTCCTGCTTGGGGTGCCTTTTGTTGTATTCCTGGTCACCGGCACCTGGCTCCCGGCCCTCCTGGCCAACCTCTCTCTTCCCGGCCCTGTGATTCTTTGTCAAACACCCCTGGACTGAATTTGAAGTCATGTCTTTGCTCCTACTTCAGTGAGCATGGTTCCTGCTTCTGGGTGGCTGAATGTGAGGGGCAGGTGGTGGGCATGGTGGGTGCTCTGCCCGTGAAGGACCCTGCCCTGAGGAAGGAGCAGCTGGAGTTGCTTCACCTTTGTGTGGCTTTGGGGCACCGAGGCCGCGGGATAGCCAAAGCCCTGGTCAGGACTGTCCTCCAGTTTGGGCAGGACCAGGGCTACAGTGCAGTCGTCCTCAGCACCAGCTCGCTGCAGTACTCTGCTCTGGCCCTCTACCAGCGCATGGGCTTCCAGAAGACACACCACTACTTCTTCTCCTTGTGCTGGAGGATAATTGCTGCACATTCAATTCAATTCATCTACCACCTTCCCTGTGCTCAGGTCTCCAAGGAGATGAAGCAAGGTGGGGCCTGTGACCCGCTCATAGTGGATTAGTCAGGAGAGGATCAGCTCTGCTGCAGTAACAAGCAAGCTTGAAATTGTGTGAGTCACAATAAAAGCTGATTGCTGGTTCATGTCAGAGCCCTAAGTCGTGCTGGTGTCTGCTTCACTGGGTCCTTGAGTGTTAGCACTATTTTGTGTATCTAGTGTTAAGTTACATACAAAAGCAACCAGAAAATAAGAGGAAACATTTCATTTTCTTGTGAGGCTATGGTCAGCAATTTAGTGTGCACAAACATGGCTGTGCAGCTCTTTTGGTCTGACTGGCCTTGTTCACATGTTGTGGCAATGTTTGTGGGGCAGGGAGATGGGGCTTACTTATGTTCCAGCAGGCTAGGTCAGGCTGGCTTTGAAGGTCATTGCAGAGGAACAAAAGTGAAGAAACAAGATAAAGCTTTTCCATTCTCTGTAGGTGTCATATCTGCTGCTAACATTCTAGAGATGGATGGGTGTGGAGAGAGTGGACCCTGCCTTTAGAGAGGGCCACATGGCAAAGGAACATGAGGAGTGTGAGAAAGACTGGGACAATGAGGGCCATCAGTCTGCTCTAGCACCAAGGTATCTCCTGCAGGGGAAGAATGAACCCAGGACAGAGTGGAGATACACTGGGAGAGGCAGCAACATCCCACTGGCCAGATGTCAGTGCCTGGACCCCAACATGCTTAAAGTGAGACTGGGAGTGTGGGCATCCAGGAAGAGGAAATGGGATTGGCCAGTTTCCCTGACCTGCCAGAGCTGGGACCAGCCTCTGTCCCCAAATGCTTCTGGACTCCAGATGTTCAGGAGACTCTGGCCTGACCACATCATCCCTCAAGGCTCTGATACAAATGCAGATGGGGTTGGTAGCTGTGTCGTGTATGCCTCATTGTGAGCCCTTCCCTACCTGCCAGCACTGGAACTGGGTGTGCCCCCATAAGGCCTGGAGCCTTTCACTGGGTCCCCTAGCCAGAGGCTCGGTCCTAGGATGAGTGAACCTTCCCAGCACCAGTATGCTGCATCCCTCCGAGGAACCAAGGAAGTCCCGAGTCCCTCTAGCCTGGCTCACGTGATACGGCAGTTTTGGGATAGTCTGTACTCTGGCAGTGTCCTCTGCTCAGATTAACTTGTCAGCAAGTCATAGGCCCTACCATGTCCTGCCAAATGGATTTGTACAGCCGTGTTGTACTTCAGTGGAGACCTGCCAGCCACGTCCACGGGGAGGACACATCCATGTTTTGCTGGGCCTTGACCCTCTCCTTAGTCCATTTGGCCTCCTTCACCTCTGTCCACTGTCACCCACAGTGCCATCTCCTTGGACCACTAATTTCTCCAGGCCTGCTGCCCTTTCACTTGGCCCTCAGAAAACTGAGCCATGCACATCACCTCTTAAACTGCCCTATTCTGTGATATCAAGTCTCTTTCTCCTGAGTTGTGACTTTTGTTTTCTTATTAATGGTGCAGTCTCAGCTGCCTTCCCAGCATGGCATGCAGAGGTGGTCTCCAGCCTCTCCTGCAGCCCCACGGCTCCCCTGAGCCCTGTCAGCTGGCCCCTGAGAAGTTCCATAGGGCACTGAGCTGTGGTCGTGCCAACTGTGGCCCACAGTGGTCTTTATCCTTTGAGAGGTTTATTGAACAATAATTACATGGTGTTATTTTAGACAATTCTGGCTAAATCCTTGAGGGGCGTACATTCGGTGCGGCTGAGAGGCCAAGGAATGCATGTACAGACTCAATGTGACATGTGTCCTGAAGGGTCATACCGGGGCTAGGACCTGAGAAGGGTACCCAAGCTACTCATGGTGGAGGCTTCCTAGAGCAGCAGGACTGCTGTGTCTGAATATTCAGAAGCAGCCTTGGTGCTTGTCCATCACCTGCTCTACTCCAATCCCCAATCACACTGTGCTTTTTCTACTTTCAGTTAACTAAAACTCTCTGCTCTGAGGCCTTAGTTCTTCTCTCCCTCAGTCCACCCATCCTATTTGTTAGCTCCTTTAGTTTTCAGCTGAGGTGGGATCACTGGGTTGCAAAACTTTCTTGTGAGCTGGGAGGAAGCAGTTTATCCTACTTTATATGGCAGTTATTGCTATTTAGTCCCTGCTACTTATTAGTCCCTGCTACTTAACTTAGGATCCATCTTGCAGTCAGGTATTTCCTGGAATTGACCTAAGTAAAAGAAAATACAAGGCTTTTGTGCTCTAAAGGTTATATAAGTATATTAGGATTAATCCTTGAGCATTACCTCTAAATGCAGCATGACAGCAGCCTCTCTTGAGTCTCTGCTCTGCCCCTGGCTGAGAAGTCTACTCTCCAACGTTTGGCATCCACAGTGAGGGTACTGATGAGCTCAGATGCCAAACCCATTTGGCTAGTTACTCCTTTCCTCATCTACCCCATCAAGTTCAAATCACGGCCAACAGAGTTTGAGCAGCTCTTTCCTGAAGGATTCAGAGGCCCAAAGCCACACTACTGAATGTGTCTGCTTGTGCACTGGAGGGAGGGAGTCTGGATCAAGAAAGGAGTCAGGGGTAACTGGAAGCAAATCTGGGGCTTCAGCTCATCACCAGATAGGATAGGTGACAAATTTTATATGAGATCTAAGACCAAAATGCGAAAAGTCCAAAATAGTTATGAAGACAGTGTAGGATGGCTACAAGAGGTTTTGGGGGAGAAGGAGAAATGGGTGTGATGAGCTAATTAGGTTTTCTTTTGAGGTGATGAAAGTGTTCTGAATTGATATAGGACGTGGTAGCACAACTTTGTAAATGTACTAAATGCCACTGAATAGTAAACTTACAATGGTTTATATTGTATTATCCAAAATTCAACTATATACAAATTAAAAGGGAAAATAGAGTTTAGATGAGTCAGTAAGGCAAAAGGAGCATAAAAGGTTTAGAGAGCAAAGATGTGAAAAGATTTTTTACTGAGAGCTTCTGTCTTACAATGGGTGTGTTCTTGCCTAGTTAAGGAGGCAAAGAGGTGTCACTTTAACCCCAATTCTAGGAGAGGGCCTCAGGAACCTCTATGCCCCTTCCTGCTGTAAGCAGGAGCACTGATGTTTGACACCTAAGTCACATTGATGCCCGTGGGCTTGGAACTTTGGCCAATAGGATGTTGATGGCTGTGTGTGGTTGTGTGGTGGCATGTGTGTTAGAGAGATAACCGAGGGGAGGCCAGGGAGGAAAAAGTGCTTTTTCCTGAGTTGGGCATGTGGGTCTGGGTCCTGTGGGTCTGTGGGAATGAAGTACAGTCAGGAAACAAAAGGCAAAGTCCAGATTTTTGATACTTGTGGAATCCCCCCTAGACAAGTTAGGAGAGATTGTTTTTCATAATTCAGAAGACCCTACCTGTGTTAAAGAGTGAGTGTTCTATGGATTCGTGATGTGAAGGAGCAGCCCTTACATATATCCTTCTGCACTCATTTCCACCTTTATACTTTGTGGTTCTCAGTTGTCCAGGCTTAGGCCTATCTGCAGACTAGCCACCAGGAGAGCCATGTCCCTCACGCACCCTTTCCAACCTAGCTTCCAAAGTGGTTAATCATTGTTTCAAGTCTATCAGTATTCTGTGATGTTATATAGTAAAATTATGACTCCTTATTCTTCCCTGGTTTTTGTTTGTATTTGCCTTAGAAATGATATTGCTTTTTTTCGGGTTGTTTAGTTTTCTTTTCTTTTCTTTTTTTTAAAATTTATTTATTTATATAAGCAGTGGGTACAGTCAGAAGCGCGGGAGGGTGACAGAATTCACCAGAGCCAGAGCGGGGAGCAGAGCAGGCGGAAGGACTGAAGTACACTGCTGAGAGGAGCAGCGGGCGGCAGGAGAGGTCTGCGCGCCATGTGGGACCCTTCTCCGGTGGCTGGGGAGCAGTCGGGGATCAAACCGGCGCTGCAGAGGCTGCGGGCAGCTTCGCAACCCAGCGCTCAACCGCTGCGCCACCGGGGAGGCCCAGGGTTGTTTAGTTTTCTATGTAATTTCTACTTCAACCTAAAATCTATCAGATATTTAAGTGACACCGGGTATGTTGGGTAACATGTAATATCTCCCTGAAGTATTTCCCAGAGTCTGTGGTGTGCAATCTAAACTGATCACTTTGTATGGGTCATTAACAAATTCTTATTGAGTCAAACATTTGACACACATGTCCTAAGCCCTGGCAAAATAAGTGAATAAAATTAGTTATGATCTGCCCTTGTAGAGCTTACTACCTACTGGGAGTTTCAGCAACCATGAGCTTTCTCTTCCTACTTATTTTTTTGGGTCTCAAGTTGACACCTGCCTGTTTGTCATAAGAGTGCCAGGTGTGTGTGTGTGTGTGTTTCCTAAATATGAGAGACCGGCTCCCCAATTTCCTCCCTGTCCAAAGCTGTCAGCCTATAAGTAAGGGGCAGTGGAACCTTTATAAGCACTTTCCCACCTTTTCTTAATTTGTCCCTGTCGTAGGAAATGAAGCTAGAATAGGCATCTTTTTAGTCTAGGCCCACTTGTTCCTTGTGGACTAAGTCCCATCTGGACTTAGATTCTAACATGACATTGCCTTGTGGGGGGAACAATGGTGAGGATGATGTATATCATGATAATAATGGGTCAGGTAATGTAGCGATATGTGAATCTGGCTATGCCTCCTTCAATATAGCTGAACCTCAAGCCCCATGCAGAAGCCTAGAATGCTGGGCTGACCTGTGAAGAGGTCTCTATTTTTTGAGTCCAGTATGGAGTCTGCAAAAATAGTCAAAGTAAAGGCACATGGGGGTAGGAGTGGGAGTTTACTCCATTGCCTAAGGCTGGGCTACTGGGTATTTTTTCCAGGCAAGTAAAGCTCTCTGAAAAACAGGCAGGTGAGAAGCTACAGACAAGAGAGAGAGAAAGAGAGAGAGAGAGAGAGAGAGAGAGAGAAGCCCACATCTATGAACTTGTGACTGTTACCTCCTTAAAATGTAGCCTAGTCAGACCTGGAAAATGAATCAGCCTTGGGGGTAGTGGTAGAGTTTCCTTAGATCAGGATCTTCATCTTGGGGAGTTGTAAGAGGAAAAGAAAAATACAAATGAGCCAAGAGTGCCTCCTAAAGGCCAATAAAGTCAGTTTTAGTTTTTGATCGTATTCTGCCTCAACCTCACACACGAGTAGTGAGAAACTGGGAAAGGGTTATAGGTGAGGGTTCACAGTCAGTAAAAACAAAACTAAATTGTAGGTTAAAATTACTCAACTTCCAAACAGGTAAATATGACGACTATGTCAATAGTTCATCTTGGCCTAACTTCTTTTTTTTTTTAAATGTTACTTGTTTTATTTTAATTTAATTTTTAAAAAATATTTTATTTATTTATTTATACAAGCACTAGGTACAGTCAGAGGCAAGGGAAGGTGAGAGAATTCACCAGAGCCAGAGCAGAGAGTAGAACAGCCAGAGTGACGAAGTACACTGCTGAGGAGAGCAGTGGGAGGCAGGAAGGGTCTGTGCGCCATGTGGGACCCTCGCCTGGCAGGTGGGGATCGAACTGGCGCTGCAGAGGCTGCGGACAGCTTCTCAGCCCAGTGCTCAACTGCTGCACCATGGGGAAGGCCCCAGGCCTAACCTCTTGATGACTGGCTATAATAATACATTGTAATTTATAGTTAAAACAGTCTGTCTTCATACAGTTCCTCCCCACAAACACCATGTGCTTATGGTCACAGGAGGCCTTTTCTGGGAGTGGCAGAAACAGAAGCTGCCCTCAGGGAAGAAGAGTGGCTAAGGAGGCTAGAGCCAAACCTTCAGGAGAAAAGAGGGTGACAGTTTCTCAGGTTAGCTGTAAACCAAGTATAGGAAAGAAACAATTCAAGTGTGAATATCCAGGACAGATCAAAACCAAGGGGAATGGTTCAGTTTGAGCCTGGGCTTCTTGCACCTGTGCAAGAACCAAAAAACAAAACAAAGTAAGACAAGAGGCTCAAGGTTCAGCCAGGCATAGGGCGAAATCCCTTCTGGAGCAAGGTCTTGCATGGGGGTTGGGGTTTATGTGACTGGAGGGTGGCAGCTGAGCATCTGGATGGACTCAGGAGTGGAGGATGGACTCAGGTAGCAAGGAAGGCTGACTCTTTGGCTTCTGGGAGGTGTTCATCCTGGCTCATCCTGGACTGATGTGGGCAGAATGGAGAACCATCTTGAGTTCTGGGACAAAGTAAGTTCTAGGAGAGGCTAGGTAGGCCCAAGATGGGCTTGATTTTGTACCCTGACCACACCTGGGTTGATTACCTGGGGAAATACTATTATAATGTAAAAATAAGTCTTTTAGGTTTTCTGTTTAAATAAACCTAACAGAGGTGCTAGCACGGTCTTTCCAGGGCATCTGTAGTAGCAGTCCCAAGGAGGTGTGCTCAGATTGGGGCTACAAGGAATTTACTCTGCCAATGTGCCTTCTTGGAGATCACATCCATGCTTGATGTTTAGAACACGGTTCCCTCCAAACACTGACAGGCTTTGCAGGGGGAAAATGGGGGCCACTGCCAAATTGTTGGAGCCTGCCTGGTAGGACAATACAAATGCTTAAAAGCTCAGTGTTCATGGAGGTCTCTCAAGAGAGGGTAAAGTAGGTAGCTCCCACATCTGTTACTGCCTGGGTCACACTGAGAACGTACTGACCTGGGGGATTTTGAAATCTCCTCACAGTGCTTCTATGATGTGCCAGCTGCCCATTGCAGTTTTCCAGGCCATGAAACTAAATGTCTCAGGAAGGTGTCTGGGTGACACAACCCTCAGCTTAAAGAGAATCACACATTATTTCTAATCAGATTCCATCCTATCCTGATTTCCTTGCAGACCCAGGTTTCTAGACAATTTTATTTAAAAAAATTTTTTTTAATTTTTTTTTTTTATTTATACAAGAGCCAGGGTACAGGCCAGATGCGTGGGAGGGTGAGAGGATTCACCAGAGACAGAGCAGGGAACAGAACAGGCAGACTGACAAAATACACTGCTGAGGGGAGCAGCGGGCGAGACAGGAGAGGTCAGCTTGCCATGTGGGTTGCTCAGAGGCCGGCGGGGATCGAACTGGCACTGCAGAGGCTGTGGACAGCTTCACAGTGCTGTGCTCAACCACCTTTGCCACCAGGGAGGCCCAGACAATTTTGTTTATTATGAGTAATAACTTCCAACAAAACACGTAGACAGCAATATTATTTGAGGCCCTCCCTGGTGGCATAAGGGGTTAAGATGCCGCAGCCTCTGCAGCATGAGTTCGATCCCTGGCCAGGAAGATACCCACACGGTGCAGCAGACCTCTCCTGACTCACCCACTGCTTTCCTCAGCAGTGTATTTCAGTCAGTCTGCCTGTTCTGTTCCCCATTCTGTCTCTGGTGAATTCTCTCAACCACCCCCAACCTCTGGCCTGTACCCCAGTTCTTCTATGCATAAATAAATAAATCTTTAAAAAAAATTATTTGAGAGCTTAAAGTGGACTTTGAGGTATTAATCCTCTCATTTTACTGGTAAACTGACCTGAAATGGTTAATTACCTTTGCCTAGCAAGAAGGGAAGAACTAAAAGTAGAACATCATGGATCATGGTTCTTTTCTCTGAGCCTTCTTCATAGTTGCCTCCTGGATCAGAAAGTTTGCCTCACTGGCACCATTTGAAAGCACTAAGCTGTGCTTGGTGACAAGGCCTGCTCTTTGATATGGCCTTCTGGGGAGGGAACTGGTCCCTCTTACCTTTCTAGGGCTTCCCTGAACTTAGAGTGAGGCTGCTTAGTACTTTCCCCTCCTCAGCTTTGGCCCTCTAACAGTATTCCAAGTCACGAAAAAATAAATCCTGTTACAGTCTAATCTGGGCTCTGGATTAAGTACTTTAAGTGCATTATCACATTTACTAATTCATGCTTTTCAGAAAGTACAGATTATAAACACTACTTCTATGTTTGATATTAAATGACCTGAGGTGTCAAATCCTAAAAACAAGAGAGTGGGTACAAAATCCACCAAAGAAGGCTGGTAGACTTTTCCCTCCACTACAAAGCAAGTCCCTGGAGTAGCTGGAATGAGGTTAAGAGGCAACTCTGGATACAAGGTATGTGTGGGTCTGCCAGGAGTCTCTGAGCATGCCTGATGTGTACTCTAACTAGACACCCTCTCCACAAAACCCACAATGGGGCTCTCACCATGTCATGCTGTGTTTCTAAAGAAAGGCCACAGTTCATTCTCATAGCCCACTTTCTTTGATTAATGCTTTCAGATAAGGCTCCTGACCAACCATACGGAGAACTGCATAGCTGTCTGCACATCTCCAGGTGGGAAAAGAAATGACCCTCTGCTACTTGCTTTACTACAAACCAATCAGAAGTTATTTATTTTTGGGCCTCCCCTGGTGGTGTAGCGGTTGAGCACTGAGCTGCGAAGCTGCTGCAGCCTCTGCAGCGCCGGTTTGATACCTGGCCCCCAGTGAGGGTCCCACATGGCGCGCAGACTTCTCCTGCCACCCGCTGCTCCCCTCAGCAGTGTAAGTTGGTCCTTCTGCCTGTTCTGCTCTCTGCTCTAGTTCTGGTGAATCCTCTCACCTTCCTGCACTTCTGACTGTACCCAGTGCTTATATAAATAAATCTTAAAAAAAAAAAAATAGCTATTTATTTTCTAAAAGTATAAAAACAAATGCAAAAAGGGATGTATTCTTAGTTAGAATTAAGAGATGATATCACTATCATCATAACAAACATACCTGAGGGCGCAGTCACTGTGGAGAAAGTACTGCTCCCAAACCATTGATAATCTTAATTACCACTCTGCCCCACACTGTGCAGAAGATGACTTCTAAATTACACATGGACAAAGATTAAGTTTTATTAAGCCAGATTCATAAAAGTAAGGATTGTGCTTCTCTATGTTGATAAAATATGATTCCAAGGCTCTGAGGAAAATAATCTTAGGTCAGTCCCAGGGAACTTTTCTCCCCAAGAGCTGATTGGTCACTTTCTGTGGAAGAAAACAAAGACAGGAAAGAAGTTAGATACCCTCACCATCACAGTCAGACAGCCTCTCCTGACCCCAGACATGACACTGAAGAGACCAGTGTAGTTCAACCCAATTCTGTTGATTTTCCTCAGCTATAGAAACTATGGTAACTATAGAAAAAATACTTTCTGAATATTTAGGAAGGATGATTTACAATCAATATCTATTATTTCTATAAAGACACAGATACTCTATAATCTCGCTAGACTAAGGCAGCCATCAATACACAAATACACAAGCACAATGAAAGGCCTGGCCTTGTGATGGGAACAAACCACAATGGCCTGAGGTTTGGTTTGGAACAGTTCTCTAATCCCACATCAGTCTGGTATGAACTTGTGTTTTTGGTTTCTAACTTTTTGAGTCCTCTGGGGGCAGAGTGAGAGGGTTGGGAATGAAACAGGAACAATGAAGGATATGGCTCTTCAGTACAGTAGCCAGTCTGGTTTCTTAGAGAATTAATGGGTAGCAAGTCCTATGGCCCATGAAGTTCTAAAGCTTATAGCACCCAGATTCCACTGGGGCAGGAAATAGTGGCAGCTTTGAGACTCTGATTCCCCAAGATCCAAACTCTTATGCCATTCTTGGATATTTTCCAGTTTGCTTTAAAAGTTCTAGAGATACATGATTTACCCATAAAGGGTACAATAGATAAGAGTTGGACATCCCACCATAATACCTAAACTTCCCCCTAAGTATGAAATTTTCTTTCAACCCAACTGTATGCGTTGATGGTGTTTTTTTTAGATTTGCCTTTTTCAAATTTCAGATTTTAAATCTTACATCTGCCGTTATTTTCCAAATTTCAGCAGTGGCGCAATGCATTACAAGCTTAAATTCCCCCCCAAATGTGGTTAATTTAAACAGTTTAGATGTGTTTCTCGCAAATTTCTCCTTCCCCTGATAAAATGATCAGTCTCCTTCTATATTGACGATGGACTGACCTTTTTATATAGCTGGGCTCGTAGTCGGTATGACTTATATTCCGATCTCCTCTTTTCCTCTTCTCTCTTTTTCTGGACTTCTGGAAGCTGCTCATAAATTCTTAGACGCAATCCCAGTGGAAAGACAAAGAAGTGAGGTTAGCAGACTACAGAGGCACCTGGTCTCTTACTACCACTTCCTAGCTCTATTGCTTTCAAGGCTTTCAGACCCTCTCAGACAGGCCCTGGGTTTCAGAGTGGATCACAGCTTCATGGAGAAGAGGGGAGCAGGTAGAAAGCAGATGGGGTGAATGTGAGGAGGCTGTGGGAAGGTCTTGCAGCCATGTGAAGACCCTGGGCTCTGTCCTCTCAGGGACTGAGCACCACTGATTTTAAGTAGAGAGGAATATGATCAATTATGCATTTGCTAAATACATTCCAATTTGAAATAATCTAAATTTGCAGCAAAAGAAGAGTGAAACAGATTATGAAATATACTGGAATTATTACAAAGTATAAAAAAGATGATTCCAAGAATTTTTAATAATATGGGAAAATTCTCACAATATAATAAACAAAATAAAATAGGCTATAAACCTATATATATATATATATAGTACAAACAACAATTTGGAGAAAATAAGTGTTAGTAAAAGTCTCCATAAAAAAACTCCCACTGTTACCAGAAATAGGACTAGTGGTAGGTATACTTAGATGGAATGATTACGAGTGATATTTTTCTATTTTCCAAAGTTTTCTATACTCTGAAAAAAAAAATCACTGAAAACAATGGAGAGGTTCTGTGGAAAACAGATTAGAGAAGATAAAGAACAAGAAGTGGGAGGCCAGTTCACATCAAAGCCCTGAGAGGGGCCCCGGGCAATCAAGAAACCAAGTCTCTATTTTATATACAGTGGAAATAATCACTAGTGGAGAAAATACAAAAGTGAAGTCAGGCAGGAGACCAAAGATAGATAAACGCATTTTTTAAGAGTCACTATTGATCAAAACCATAATCAGATAGCACCTCACACCTGTTAGAATGGCTATTATCAAAATTTTAGGTAATAGGTAGAGAAAGGGAACCACTGAGGACTATTGGTGTGAATATAAATTGTTATAGTCACTACAGAAAACAAGGTTCCCCAAAAAATTAAAAATAGAACTATCATATGATCTAGTAATACCAGTTCTTGGAGATAACTGCACCCCCATACACATTGTTCATACCAACCTGACCTGAAACTGTTAATTAACAGATGAATGGATAAAGAAAATGTCACACACACACTGTTCAGGCATTAAAAAAAAAAAAACCAACCAAGAAATTCTGCATTTGCAACAACATAGATGAACCTTGGGGACATAATACTAAGTGAAATAAGTCAGATAGAAAGATAAGAGAGTACGATCTCACTTACACATGGAATCTAAAAACATCAAGAGTAAATGGGTAAAACAGAGTAAATGGTGTGTGTGTGTGTGTGTGTGTGTGTGTGTGTGTGTGTGTGTGTAGGTGAAGTGTGGGGTAATGTGGAGACGTTGGTTAAAGGGTACCAACTTTCAGTGGTGAGATGAACAAGTTCCAGGGATTGAATTAATGCTCAACATGGTGACTATAGTTAACAGTATTATATTGTTGGACACTTGAGAGCATGCAAACTAGTGGGGATTCTCTGTGTCATTAGCAGTTTTTTCTTTCCTTTTTTTTTAGTACTATCAGTGAGAAACTTCTTTCACAACTGGTTTTCTCATGTCTTCACTTGAGCATAATGCTTATATTCTAGTGGTAAGTCAGTGTTCCTGACCATTTGGTATGCCTCACACTTTGATAATTACACTTAGGCTTTTGGCCTTACCGTTTAGACCTCTGAATCATTTCCTTCTTTCCAACAGGCCTGTTCTTCTGGGCAGCCAGGAAGCCTAAACATGAGAAAAAAGGCTTTCAGTGGACAGTGACTTGATAAAGAATGTGTTGCTCAAAAGCTGTAAGAAGGAGCCCTCACCCGAAGCTGACAGTGCTGGGCAGTGAGCAGTGGCTAAGGCCAAGGCCACGGTTAGGCTATGGCAACTGTGACTGCAGCATAAGGTGGAGACACAACACTGTAGCACAGACTGGACAGTCTGAATCAAAACACTGACTAGTTTTTAGTAAGGTTGCTATGAAAGCACTATGTGGAACTTTATACAATTTTCACAGCTTCCATATATTATTGCATTGAGATTTTTTTTTTTTGCATTGAGACATTATACTTAGTATAATTAGTTTAGAACACAGGTTTGGAGTCAGTCTACCTGGCTTCAAATCCCAGATTAGGTGTATAATCTTGGCAAGGTATTTTAGTCTCTTTTTGCTTCACTTTTCATCAATAAAATTGGGATATTAGAAGTATCTACCTTGGTGAGGTGTCATAAGCATTAAATGAGAAAAGGTTATCTGGGATAACACAAGGGCTATGTAAGTGCTGTTATTGCTGTTATTATTATTTATTATGATTATTTATGGCCACCCTGTGAGGTAGGCAAGCTTGGAATCAGCTAATCTTTAAAGAAAAGCACACTATATTTTAGAACTAACTTGTTCACGGGCATAGAGCTGGTTTATAAAAACACCATTCTCACTGTACACTTCCTTTTTTAATAAAAGATGAACTGACAGGACAAGAGTAATGGTCTTGTCTGGATCACAAAATGCTGAAAGCTAAATCTGGCAGGTTCTGCTATCTAAGGTGACCAAAAATCACTTTCTGTTCATGTAACTGGCCTCACTTTGAGCAGTGCTCCATAACATGCAGCAGATCTTGCTCCTTCTTCCCAGTAAGAAGAAAGTGAACAGAGTTACCTCTTTTAGAGAGTGGGTTCATGGGATCCCGGTAGCCTTGCCATTCTCTCACAGTGTTGAACAGTGCCTCCCTCTCACTCTGTAACATGTTTTGCAACTTCCTTTCTTGAACTATTAACTTCAGGCGCTTTATGCGCTCCCCAGAGCGAGAGATGAAATCAGGTCTGTGTAGCCAAAGTGATTCCTGATGAAGAAAAAAGGGCCCCCGACCTCACATTAAAGATGCAGTCTGTTCTCTCAAGATCTAGAAAAGTATCATCTCAACAGATTTGGAGAACCTGTTTCTAAAGCACAGAAAATATGCAGAGTTGAAGAAGAATCTAAAACTTTTTGTGGGTGAGAGTTCCAGTACGGAAATCAGAGGTACCAAATAAAGGCCTTTAGAATAAGCCAAGAACTAAGATCATGGCAAATAAAACTCTTCCAAATGTTGTTGGGATAGAGCTTGGCCCATAGATTTTCCTTCAAACAAAATATCATTACATAACATTTCTTTTAGCTTCCAAAAGACATACAAAGAAGAAACAGGGTTTACTTTTAAACCCTGTGTTAAGCAAAATGGAGGAAATTTTAAAAAGGTTGACATCATGCTTCCAGAGCATTCCACATCCTAGTAAGCAACAACACACCATCCTTCCTATTCTTGCCTTGTCTCCAGATACTGAGGGTGAGGTGCAATTTAGAATGACTAACAGTAAAGCAGTCTTTGACTAATGATGAGAGTGAGTACGTCAAGCTGTGGATGTGCTAGAAACAAGGGTTACATTACTACACTTTAGAAGGTCAAGTCACAGACTTAACTTCTTTGTGTATCTCTTTTCTTCCTCCTTAAACACAAGGCTAAATTTAATTCAGTCTCATTGTACCTGTAAGGTTGCTCTCACAAAGGGCATTGGTGGATCCCTGCCTGGCCCTGCTAGTGGCCTGTGGCTGTCCATGCACTGTTCCTGCCAGTTTTGTTCTCGTAGTGGCTCCCTCCAAGGTTTAGTGCTGGTTATTGGTGCAAACCAGGAGATACCAGGGCCATAAAACTTGGGCAGGTTTTCCTTCTTAGAACCAGATTTCACATTTTCCACAGGAACAAACCAGGAAACCCCTAGAGGAAATATTTTTAAAGAAAGAGAAACGATCTTTCAGTTTTCATAATCCAATTAGTTCTCGCCAGAGACATATGCATAATATAGGTTCTCAAGGGACACAGCTATCAGAGGCCACCAGGATGCCCTGGAGTCTGTCTAACCTCAGGTATGACTGTGTAAATGTAGTGCTAGATATTTTAAAATTTGTCAGGGTGGTGCCAAGGGGTAAAATAGAGTCATTTAGAAACCAAGACTCTTAGCATTGTAAGATTCATTTGTTTCACTGTTATAAACGGAATCAGAAACTGACCTTCACAGCACCTCTGCTTGTTCTTCCTTGACTTTCTGTCCCCGAGGTAATTGGTAAGAAACATTTTCTCTTCTATTTTATCTTCTAACCAAGAAGTCACATCACTGTCCTCTTCTACTCTAGCCTCCCTAGAACCTGGAGTTGGGAAGGTCATCCCTACATCTCGAGTGTGTTTTTTGACACCATTTACAATCTCCAAGTTACCTGAGGGAAAGATTGCAGATATCTCTAGGCACAGTCTTAATATTTAGTTGACAAGTACATTCAAATCAGTAAATGGATACTTATAAAAAAAGATTTCTTTTCTTTATTTATGCATACAAGAGCTGGGGTGTAGGCCAGAGATGTTCGTGTGTGTGAGTGTGGGGGTGGTGGTGGTGAGAGGATTCACCAGAGACAGAGTGGGGAACAGAAAGGCAGATCTACTGAAATATACTGCTGAGGGGTGCAGTGGGCCACACAGGAGAGGTCTGCTGTGCCATGTGGGTAGCTCCCTAGCCAGGGATCAAATTCACGCCACCGCAGTTGGTGAGACTTTTAACCCCTGCACCACCGTGGCCCAGTAAATAGTTACTTTTTAAAGACTGCGAAACGTACTCCTGTGAGGGGTGGAGGAAGGGAGAAGGAAAGGAAGGACAGAGAGGAAGAGAGGGATAGAGGGGGGGAAATAAGGGAGTCTTTATTTCTAAATTGGTTTAAATGTTAGAGGGAAAGAACTACTAATATGGATTCAGTGGATTAAGGATTTCAGTTGTGATCCAAGTAAGAAAGGCAATAAATGCTTACAGTCCTAAAGGTGACTACCCAGGTAAGAAAAGGCTGACATACTTGAAGGGAAAAAAATCAAGGGGGCACAGGGTAGAAATTATTTTTGTTTTATAAAATCAGAGTAAGGCATAAAGCAGACAGCCTCCATCTATTCCTGATCTCTATTCACTTAGTTTATAATCCCATGATTCCAGGGAACATTTTTTGCACAGTTAAGCTATTCTCTTTATTTTTCAAATACATGTAATAGCATGTTAGACACCGTTTTGTACCTTGTTTTTTGCATATCTTGGTGATCTTTCTATATTAGTAGAGCAAGATCTCCCTCATCCTATATAGAAATCCATTATATGAATGTATAAGAATTTAACCATTTTGTTTAGTGAACATCTAAGTTGACTGTAATTTTCTGCTATTATAAACAATACTTCAGTGGTTAATTCCGTACACTTGCCAGTTTGCTCACATGCACAATAATAGCTAAAGGATAAATTCCTTAAATGAAAATGCTGAATCAACCCCCAAATTGCCTGTCATAGGGACTGTACTTCTAATTTACACCTGCACTAACATGTATTAGAGTATCTATTTCCTTACACACTTACCAACAAACTATCAAAACTTAGATTTTTGCCATTTTGAAAGGTGATAAATAGCATTTAAGTATAATTTTCATTTTCATTTCTTTTATCTTGGGAGTGGTTTAGTACCATAAGTGTTAAGAGTCATTTATATTTCAGTGGAAATGTTTAAATCAAGTCATTCACCTGCTTGTACTCCTTTGTTTAACATTTGTACATTTTTCTTGTTGCAAAAAGTAGAGCTCAAGCTCCAGAAACTACTGGTAGGAGATGAAATAGAGTCAGAAGAAATCACATGGTTAGAGACCTGAAAAACAAAAGAGAAAACCCTGTTATCATTACCTGCAATCAATGACATAGTTACTTACAGGATAAGAAAACATACAAGTTACCAAGAGTCCTTTCTAACCCAAATGAGATTAAGTTGCCAAGAAACTTGTTGCAAGCATATCAGCATGCTACCACATAATTTGTGATAGAAGGGATAAAGGTCTGAGCTCTTTCAAGAAGGTAAGACAAAAAGTGCCGCGGACCAGCACAGCAGTAGACAACGAGGCTGTCTCAGGGTTGAGAGAAGTGTGCAGGGTGGTCAGGGCGTCGGCGAAAGAAATAACAAACAGACACACTTCAAGAGAGTGAAAATCTGAGTGTAATTTTCTTTGAGTTGGTGACCAGTATATATATGTTTTTCTAAAGGCATAGGAATGGCGAACATCAGTGAAGAAATCAGCTTGCTTATAGGTTTAGCTTATCATTGACAGGGCACTGATTTACATCTGGACCCAGGCGCATTCCTAAGTAGTTAGGCTATTCATTTTTCTTTTTATTTTATGTGATTACTTTTTTGTTTTAATTACTCACTACCACTAAATTACTATTAATTAGCACGGATGAGTTTTACTATTCACAATGTAATATTTTTATCATTAAGATTAATGCTAACAAGGCTAAGCATATAACAGAGAAATTATTAAGCTAACAGTTCTATTAATACACAGAGTTTAGTAATGTTGCATTTGAATTAGCCTAGTTATTAGATTTCGTATGTTCTTTTTTAATCAGCAACCAATGACCTTTTTAGACAGAGAAAGAGAAAAGATTTGAGAAAGAGAAAAGATTTTAGAGAGACAGTTGTAGTAAAATAAAGTTTGTGGGCCTTGAGAAGGCGAGATAAGGTTCCATGCGGTCAGCATTTCTGTAGTGGCTCCTGGGGGTCGTTATCTTTCAACAGGCGTTGGTCTTATCTATGTCTTCAGGGGGTTTTGCTGTTCTCCCCCTGCTCGCTGGTTCCTTGCCCAGCAGGACCTAGGGACCATGGCGAAAGCCATTAGCCCTAAAGGTCACTGCAGGGGGAGGTGCAGCAAAAAAGGCTGGGTATATTCATAAAACCTGAAAAAATCTGAAGAGGATGCTAGCCTAAGATTAGCCTGGTGGGTATTTAGAATAAATGCTGATTTAACATCTACATACATTTTTGAAGGGAGAAAAAGAGGGCTGGGTTAACTAAACAGTGATGGGTTGCAGAGTGCTCTCCAATAAGGTCAGACTCAGTTACTTATACAAAAAATACCATGAGAAGTCCTATCTGTAGAGTACTGCAAAAAAGCATTAAAGACCCCCAAAAGGACTTTTAATTTATAGACAGATCCAAGTAGAAGAATGAAAGGCAAGTTCATGGATTGAAGTTGATATTGGAACATTAGTATATAACAAAAAAGGTTATCAAAATATAGTTGAATAAAATACAGTATGAAACAGTATTTCTTTTTTTTTTTTTTTCCCTGTTTGCTATCCTTTATTGAAGGATCCCACACCCTCATGGGACCCTGGCCACACCAGAAAGGTCCCCCAAATATAGTAGGAGGAGTGAAGGGGAGGGGAATGACTCACAATCCCACCACACTGTAAACAGAAACCCACTATAGACAGACAGACAGACAGACAGGGGTGGGGAGGAGAACTTGCCTCACTCTTGGTTCTTTCCCCTTTGCCTCCACTTCAAAAGAAAGTCAAACACTGGCTACGTAGCACCCCCCCCCCCACATCCATAGCAGCGTTTTTGGGATCCCCTCTGCAAGGGGTGGCCCTGTAAAACAGTATTTCTTAAACTTTTTTTTTTTGAGGCATTTTATTTATCTGTTTGTTTGTTTGTTTGTTTTGTTTATGCATGCACTGGGTACAATTAGAAGCGCGGGAGGGTGAGAGAATTCACCAGAGCCAGAGCGGGGAGCAGAGCAGGCAGAAGGACCAAAGTACACTGCTGAGGGGAGCAGCGGGTGGCAGGAGAGGTCTGCGTGCCATGTGGGACCCTCCTCCAGTGGCCGGGGAGCAGCTGGGGATCGAACCAGCACTGCAGAGGCCGCGGGCAGCTTTGCAACCCAGTGCTCAACCACTGCGCCACAGGGGAGGCCCTCTTAAACTTGTTAATCATAAAAATATCATGGAGGAGAAGCCCTGACCCAGAACAATGAATTAGAATCTCTTGGGAAGGAGTCTAAGCACCTATATTTTGAATAAATGCCAGGTGATTTTATCTATTTAAGCAAGTTGATAGAAGTGAATTGAAGCCCAAATCAAGAAAGGAAATTGAGAGTATCTGCTCCCCTGAACTATTAATAAGTAACCTATATTCCAGGTTCTTTAGGAAACTTGCAGCAGAATCCTGGAGGAGAGGAGCCATATTAGGGGGGTTGAGTCAGGAAATGTTTTAATTTTCAAAAAGATAACTGTGGATTTGCAAACTAGTAGGCTTAACAGTGATCCCTAAAATTCTGGAATGGATAATTTGTAAGCATTTGGAGGTCAAAGAAATGATTATTAAATTTCAGCCAGGGCTCAGTAAGGCAGGCAGAACAAGCCTTGCCAAGATATAGTAGCATTTACTGTGCACCAACTGCCTGCCAGTCACTTGGTTTGCTATGGCTATTCCTTCACTTTTTATATAGCAATTTCTTAAAGATATGGAAAGCAGGAGATTGCCCATACAATGCACACCTGGGCCCAACTGGCTGTCAAACAATAACAGGAATAATGCGACAAATCAAAGGACAACTGTAAAGCCCTGCATATTAGGCAGAAGAAATGGTAGTAACTTTGATGCAACAGAAAATGCTCGGTATATAAGGCGGCAGAAAATACAATGAGATACCACTTCACAAACACTATAATAAAAAGATGGACAACATTAGGTGTTGACAAGGAGGCAGAGAAACTGGAACCTTACCTTATTTCTAGTGGGAATTAAAACACTTTGGAAAACAGTCATTTTTTAAAAAAATTAAACACAAACTTATGACTCAGTAATTCCACTTCTAGGCATATAACCAGAGAAAGGAAAAAAAAGTCCACACGAAGATGTTGACACAAATGTTCAAAACCTGGTAAATGGATTAACAAAATGTTGTATGTCCACACAGTAGACTACTAATCAGCAGCAAAAAGAAACTGATATATATATATTACTATATGCATGAAACTGGAAAATATCACATTAAGCAAGAGAAGTCAGATACAAAATACTACCTATCATCCTATTTATATGTAGAAAACAAATTGAGGTTGTCAGGGGCTGGAACTATAGATTGATTGCAAACAGGTAAATGGGACATTTTGGGTTTAGCAGTAATGTTCTAAACTGAATTATGGGGATTAGACAACTCTAAGTTTACTGAAAATAACTGAGTTGTCATTTTGGAGGAAAGTTTTTTTTTTTTTTTTTTGTGGGACCCTCGCCAGCGGTCGGGGAATGAACCAGTGCTGCAGAGGCACCAGGGGTGGCTCTGGAGGAATTTTTTGTTATGTAAATTACACTTCAGTAAAGCCATTTGAACATCTATGTAAAGATATGTAAGAACTACTAACAATGAATGACTCTGCAAGGAGAGATGGGTGCCTTGGTAACAGGAATGGGAAGGACAGTCTTTATCAAATATTCTTTTATACATTTAAAATTTTGTACCATCTGATTACATTACCAGTTTAAGAGGTAAGAATAAACAAAACAAAAATTGGAGGGAATGGTCTTGATGAAGTTTATTTTCTAATCACAAGCATTTTCTTGGTCACAGTGGTCAAGACTCCAACTCAGATTTGTTTTAAAATAAAATGTTGGAGGGGGCATTACTTGAGGTATCCTAGGGGGTTTCTGGAGTCAAATAAGGAGATAAATATGCAGACTTTGGGAGGCTGTGTATCAGGACTCTGGGAGAAAAAAATACAAGGAAGAGTGTGGCAAACAAAGTTTAATGGCTCTGGTGAGTTCAGCAGGAGTAAAACATGTTAGGCTATAAATAGTTTAACCACAAAAGGGCACGTGACAAATCTGTTGTCAACATGCTCTCACCATCTGAAGCACAACTTGCTTAAAGGGCATATTTAAAATCAGGATACTGACAAATTAAATAGACTCAGGAAAGCTGCTAACTTGGGAAAGGAGAGTAGAAAGCAAGACTTGTGAGGAATGACCTGTATGGAAAGGTTCATATTGAAAACCCGAGAGAAAATATTTCAGAGAAATAGGGAGTCAAGAGGTAGAAGACAAGCCCTATTTTCTGTGCCTTCAGAGAGCAGAACTGGAACAGTCAGGACAATGGAACAATTGGGAGTGAAAACCTTTGCTAATTGTAGTCTTGAACAGTAAGCTGACCAGGAGCAGATGTGGTGGGACTGCTGTAGCAGGGGCTGGACCACCTGGTGGCACAAATGTAGTATTGGTTCCTTCCAAGCCCAAGGCTGTGCACCATCTGCATTTCCAAGTACACAAACAGTGAGGGTATGCACTGCTGGGTGTGAAAAACTACACGTTTACATCTGGTTACAGGAAGAATTTTGTGTTCTCATTTCTAGTTCAAATCTTTTTTTTTTTTTTTTTAATAGAGGCATGTTTTTATTTGTTTGTTTGTTTTTGTTTATACACGCACTGGGTACAGTCAGAAGTGCGGGAGGGTGAGAGAATTCACCAGAGCCAGAGCGGGGAGCAGAGCAGGCAGAAGGTCCGAAGTACACTGCTGAGGGGAGCAGCGGGCGGCAGGAGAGGTCTGCGCACCATGTGGGACCCTCCTCCGGTGGCCGGGGAGCAGCCGGGGATGGAACCGGCGCTGCAGAGGCCGCGGGCAGCTTCGCAACCCAGCGCTCAACCGCTGCGCCACCGGGGAGGCCCTCTAGTTCAAATCTTTTTGATTAATTCCTGCCTATAAAAAGCTAACCATTTAAAAAAAATCAAAGTCTAAAAGTAAATTCCTTTATAGTTAACTCTCTAGAAGGTTAAAATCAAAAAAGACAGTCAAAAATGTATTTTTTAGGATGTGG